TAGGGGCCTCAAATCATAGGGGATGGTATTTGTCCCAAGGCGTTCTTTTAGCAGCCTTATACGCCTGGCTGTATTGCTTGCTGACCGATTAAGGTCTCCCTGTAACTTCTGTAATAATTCTCTAGGACTTGGATGTACAGGGGTTTGGGGTAGGCAATCAGTTGTTCCACTAAAAGAGACTGTAGATGGAGTTCTACTGGGACTCACAGATGGAATAACCACTTCTGCTTGGGCTTTATTATAAGCCTCCAATGCCTCCTGAAGATATTTATCATAATCTATCAAGGAATCAAGTTCTGTGACTCCAGCCCCATTATTCATTCCACTTTCTTGCCTTGGGGTTACAACTGGTGGAGTGTTTGGATTAGGCTCCCTTCGATGTGGAGCATAAGGTGGAGGTGGAAGCAGCTCTTCCTCTGGTCCCTCAAAAATGGGTTTGAGTTTATTTGGCAAGATTCCTTTCCTAGCTTCGGCTTTTACAGCCAATAATTTGCATCGTTGGACTTTGCATTCCCTTATCCATGGAGGATTTTTATTTAATGTGCTCAGCCAGGAATCTATATATGAAAATTGTTCTGGGCACCCTCCAATTTCTTTGGCGATGTTAGACCAAAGTTTGCTTACTAAATTTATATCAAAGGTTCCTTGAGATGGCCATTCAGTATTTTGCTTCGGCCACTCTAATTCACATAACGTTCTCAGGCGCTCTGGCGTCATTTTGACTCCATACGCCCCTGAGAAGGCTTTCTTAAAATTATTTAACATACATTCAAGAGGTGTATTTTCCCCTTTTGAACCCCCAACTCCCATTGTATGGCCCTGTGAAGTATCCACTCAGTCACTCACACACACGCTTCGTGGGTTTCCTTGCCCAGATGGAGTCGCCTCACTGGGAACCGAAGTACTACCCACTCCACACTCAGGTCAGCTACAGATTGCTCTGTACTTTCTCACACATACAATGCGTTAGATACTTCACCACACTCTACCTCCCATTCTTCCCTTTTCCCCCACCAGACCACCATCTGATGTATCCAACCACCTAGCGTACTCAGTTCCCACTTACTGAGACGCAGAAGTTTGATCAAGACTTCTCTTCCTCCCAATTAATTGGAGGGCCAAAAATCCCTTTGTGCACTTACCCCTGGTTGGTTCCGTTTCCCCCCGGTCCGTCGCCGCCAGTGAGCAGGGTATCAGACAGACGAGACTTCTGCGTTCCCCCTGGAAAAATTTACCAGTGCGCGCTTGGGTAAGCAGTTTAGAGATCCTCTCTCTTGTACCCTGCTCAGTAGAGCGAAGGGGCTGCGTTCCAGCAGACCACTTATCCGAGTCACAGGGCACCATAAAATGTAGCACCCTGCTTGTGGTTAACGCTTAGCTGGAATGAAATATTCAACGCAGCAATAGAGAAATTAAAATAATAATTTATTTGTCAGACAAATAAATGAGAGGCACAGTGGTATATGGTTACCAAGCTCTGGCCTGGCCTCCTGCCATTATGGCCAGCACTTATATTCCCTTAATCCAGCCCCCTTTGCTCCTCCTTGGGCTGCCTCTGTCCAATCAGCCTGGTTGGATTTCCTATTGGCTGATTGCTATAACCAATCACAATAGATACACCCATTTCCTTCTATCCTTATAAGGGAGACAAAGAGCTATATATAAATGACAAATAAGTAATAATATATCTTACATGGAATCTTAATTACCAGCTCACCTCTTGCCCTCCTTGCCCTATTGCCTTCTAAAACAAATGGTTAATCTTAAATTTTTATCTTAAACATATGTCAAGGATCTTGAGTTTCACATCAACATTGAAAGATATCCTTCATTTGAAGGTTTCTAAACAAATGTCTGACAGCTAATATATCAGGACAGCATTTGATGGCGTCTTCTTGTCTGGCAGGGGGCTGGACTGGTGGCTGACTTAATTTCAAGATAAATACAACTCTTCTAGCATTTGTTAAATCCTTTGCATAATTACATTTAAGCCAATATATTTAAGCTAATATATTTCATACATTATCATAGGTAACCTTTTAAAAGGAATAAGGCCTTTTTAAAGTAGAGAGAGAAAGAGAAAAAAAAAAGAACTCAGTTTAAAACAGTTTCAGAAGAAGGCTCTTCAGTTTACATCCCCCCCCCTTCAGCAAGCTGCTTTTCCCATTATCTGTTTAAGGAAGAAACAGCTTTAAAAAGACTTCCCAGCTAGATGCTTTAAAAGGACTTCCCAAAAAGCCTCTCTTTCTCTGTCAGCTAGATGTTTTTTCTCCCATTTGCCTCTGGCCTTAGAAAATACAGCTCAAGGTTTAAAAGAGGCCCATGGTATCATTTTACTATTTGCCCATTCCTAATTATGTTTATCTCTGCCTTTTTTATCTTCTATAACATGTAGGGTCAGTGTCATTACTCAGTCTGTAATTTCAGCTTTTACGACTTTGAGAATTGTTTTCTGCTATCAATCAAAAGGGGCCCCTTGTCTAAGAGGAAGAAAACACTGTCAGTGTTTTCTTAAGCAGCTAGCCTTCTTGCCTGGCATGAAACGTTTGAAAATCTTTTAGGCTCTCTCTAATATACAAGTCCTGATCAAACATTAATAAAATGCAGGCTTATGCCTGATGCCTCACTCCCTCCACCAATCCTGATTGCATCCTGCTCTGTTTGTTATGCAATACAATTTGCATTAGTGAAATCGGAGAGATGACTGTAAGGCGTGACCTTGGATGGGGATTCTTTTTCTGCTTCATCATGGCTCTAGTCACACTCTTGAGACACGGCTGGTTCCAGTGTCACTGTCTATCTCTGTCTCAGAAAAAGGACTGTGAGCTGTCCGTCTGCAGACTGGCCAAAATATCACAGGCTTGAAAGGCAAAAGGGTGCATTGGAGGTCAACTTCTCCTTCAAGGCAGGTAGATCCATCTGCCACCCGCTCAACATATACCACCCAGATGGTCAATTTTGGCTGAGCAGTCTATTATTTCCCTCCCCTCTCTGAGATCTTAGCTCTCAGTGGTGGTGGACCTAGCTCAGTGTGGCTCTGCCACTGGTAATGGGGGGAAGCCAGACCCTTCAGCAAAACAGGAGTGAACTCCTCCCAAGACGTACTTTCTCTACAATATGTTGAAAGCTGTCTGTTTTACTTTTGTGTGGGCATCTGAAAGTGAAGCTGGGTCAAAGTTCCCTCTCCCTTCTTTTGGAGGACCATTAGTTTCCTTCAAAAGTGTACAGTGGTACTTTGGTACTCGAACGTCTTGGCTCCTGAACAAATTGGCTCCCAAACTCCGCAAACCCGGAAGTAAATATCCTGGTTTGCGAACGTTTTTTGGAAGCCGAACTTCCGATGCGGCTTCTGCTTGAGTGCAGGAAGCTCCTCCAGCTCCTGCAGCCAAACTGGAAGCTGCATCTTGGTTTTTGAACAGTTTTGGGAGTCGAACGGATTCCAGGAACAGATTCAGTTTGAGAACCAAGGTACCACTGTATATGTGTGTGGCAACTTTTGGCAATGCCAGCAAATTTCAGGTATTTTCGTTTTACCTTAAATACATGGTGGCCAAAGCTGCTTTCTGCTTCTCCTCCTCCTCCTTTTCCTTCTCTAGACAAACAAAACAAAACAAAACCTGGCTGCCGCTTGAAGGCCGCATTCTTGGGACAGAATGCCCTCGGGAAGGATGCTGAGTCACACATCCAGTCCCAGGAATGTGGACAGAGCAGCCAAACTGCCACTTGGACTGACCCAGTCCTACCGTTGGACACAGATAGGTGGCCAATTCAGATGGCAGGTCTGTGGGGGCAGCACCGACAGCACCCCCAGAGACCTTGCCCATTCCTCTCTGTTGTCACACATCTGGACCTGGACTTCATATTCTGGCATGCTTTCTGAGTTGAATTCATATGCAACTTCCAGTGTGGCTAGTGTCAGACTAGGACCTGGGAGATCAGGGTTCGAATCCAGATTGGCGATGAAGCGTGACCCTTGGGCCAGGCACATTCTCCCAGCTAAGTCTACTGCACACATTTGTGGTGAAAAACATTTATGTCTCCTTGAGCTCCTTGCAGGAAAGGTGGGATATACCGTATTTTTCGCTCTATAATATGCACCTAGTTTTTGGAGGAGGAAAACAAGGGGGAAAAAAATATTCTGAATCTCAGAAGCCAGAACAACAAGAGGGATCGCTGTGCAGCCTGCATTCGCTCCATAAGACGCACACACATTTCCCCTCATTTTTTAGGAGGGGAAAAAGTGAGTCTTATAGAGCAAAAAATACGGTAAATGAAAAAAAAAATATAAAAAACTATCGCCAGTCAGCTACTGGAGACAGAGGCGTCATCTTATCCTTCGCCTCAATCAGCCGAATGTCTTGGGTTGGCCCTGCATTTGAAATAGTTGTTTTTAAGAAAGATGGACTGCATCTTTAAGCTAAGTCAAGAAAAGGTGTGTGTGGGGGGGTAGGCATTTGCCTACCTCAAAGGTTAATTCAGTCACAGAGAGGCATTCTCTAGCCCATGTCATTCTGCAAAAGCACTGAAACAGCTGGTTTAAACATTGTGACTCAGCATTAGCTGAAGTCCATGACTCAGAATAGACCCATTTCAATGAAGGAACATGACTAATGTAAACCCATTGAATTAAATGGGTCTAATCTGAGCATTCCTTTGTTGGAGACAACTTTCCACACATGACTTGGTGGCCAGCATTGCAAGTCATACAGTGGCCCAGAGCAGTTTCTCCCTTAGGCACAAACCAGCCTTGGCTTGTGAAGGATTTGCAGCGGCAGAGAGGAACCCAATAGGAATCCTGACAAAAGTGTGGGACATCTGTCTGCTTACTTTACACTCTTTCACCCACCTTGTGATGGGAAGGGGTTAAAAACTGGATCACCAGTGGCAGCCAGGAATGTATCTCTGATTGTGGAATACAAACTGTATTTATTAGCATGCAGATTTAGAAATAATTCATTAAAAAGAAGGGTTTGATTGAAAGAGAGCATGCTAGTTTCCCATAACAAAGCTCAAAATCTATTTTAATTGAAACTACTGTGGTGCTGTTGATTTTTCCTTTCTCTCTCCTTTTTAAAAGAATGTTAAAATTGTTTTCCTCAAGTTAATGGAATCGGTAATATGTGTTTACAAATGTAATAATGTCCATAAAATGAAACACCATCAAAACAATCTCTTTTCATGATGGGAGGAACCAGGTTTTCCCTCTGTGAAATGTGATTTGTGGGGGAAGCCAGTTCATTTGATGAATGAAGCAATATATCACAATCTGATTGAAGAGAAGCTGATAAGGGTAGAACTGCAATCAGCCAGGCAAAGGGGCTATTTCAGTCCTCTGCAGAGGAGACCTGAAAATGATTTTTAAAAATAGCAAGTGATGAGAGACTTTCCTGGATGATAACATCAGAGCAAAAATTCAACCCAGGAAGACCCTTTCCTTCCCTGACTCCAAATCCCGTGACATTTGTAGTGGAATGAGTTCAGAATCGGACCAATTCAGACAGATTTTGACTACACACAGTAGCAAAAATAATAACTTGAAGAGAGAGAGAGAGAGAGAGAGAGAGAGAGAGGAGGTTAGTTTGGAGCCTGTGGTTTTCCAGCTACAGCCAAACCTTGGATCCCGAACACCTCCATTTTGGAACAGTTTGGCTCCCAAACGCCAAAATCCTGGAAGTAAATGCTCCTTTTTTGAACGTTTTTTGGAAGCCGAACGTCTGACACAGCTTCCGCTTGAGTGCAGGAAGCTCCTGCAACCAATTGGAAGCCGCGCCTCAGTTGTCGAACATTTCGGAAGCCCTATGGGCTTCCAGAACAGATTACGTTTGACAACCAAGGTTTGACTGTATTACTGGGTTTCATCAGCCCTAACAACTGGCCATGCTGGCTGGGGGTTGGTGACAGATGGAGTTCAATTAGATCTGGAGGGATTCCAGGTTCCTCGCACCTGCTTCAGGGCTCTCCGCATCAAGACCGCCACTCTGAAATGGCCCTGGAAATGAAGAGGCGGCCATGGGAGACGAGACAACGCCACGGTGTATCCTTCCTATCAGATAACAATCTGGCTCCTACGTTCTGAAGCAACTGTTCCAGACACCTGGAAGCCAGAGTGCAGTTTCCAGACTCAGTAGCACGTGCTACAGTGATATAATCTGGATGTTACAAAGATCTGAATGACTGTTGCCACGTATGTGTGTGTGTGTGTGTTTGGACTGGGGTGGCAGTGACGCCATTCTCTCCCCCGCCCACCCCAACCATAAAAAATGTTTTGGGCCACACCTGTCCCAAAGTACTCTTCCTAAAGTGTGGGGGAAAGGAAATCCTTTAATCCATGGAGATTTTCTGCAGAAAGTGCATTACTTACCTGTGGTTTAAAAACAATAGTGGGAGATGAGGAAGATGAAGCTGTTGATGGTGAAGAAGGACCCGCCAATAGCCAACATCCGTTCCCATCTGGTGCCTAAGTAGACAAGGGGAAAAAGAGCTGTTGGCTACAGAGTACAATGAAAAGTTGCCACATTTTGCTGAGTAGGTCGGGTGCCATTTTTTCAGAATCAGATAAGGCTTCGTAATTCCGGTTTGGGCCTCAGAATGCCTATTAGTCATTTTGGCAGACTCCTATCAGTGAGATTGTTATCGAATTGCCCTGTGTGATTCATTGTTCCTATCTAATCCTGATCTCAAAACCTGAGAATTACATGAGCATGAGAGATAGCATTACGCATGCTTTCCCCAAAGACTGCCTGAGAAATTCAAGCAGCAGAAGGGAAGCGTTTATGAGGAGTTACGATTTGGTAGGAGCTACTCCTTCCTCCTGGATGGAACATGGTCACCTGCTCTGCTCCTGGGTCTGATCTGGGGAGGGTAGATTGTTTTTTGGGAGGCCAAAACCCCCACTGACATAAGTAATGGAGGAGGGTAAATGCATTATATGAATATGAATATTATTATTTATCTGTGTAGCGAAAGCCATTATGAAAAAATACAGAAAACAAATGCATTACAAAGAATAAAATGCACTGCACAAATAAAATAACTATTAAAGGCAGGCATTCTGTCAGATAAGATTTTGCTCCCCTGAAGAATTTAGCTTACCTGTCCCACAAACTTTTCTCCTTAAAACTGTCACCCTAAATGCAAAATGAGCACTTTTTCAGAGGTGTAGGCGGACCTGTCCCCTAATAAACAGCTAATGAAACACTTCTCACCTGGGATATTTAAATTTTTGAACAAGGCTGCTCTTAAGTCCTTGTAGATTGGGCAAACTACATTATAAGAGCTGCAACTTTAGGAGCGTTTGCTTAAGCTTGTTTTGCTTTTCTCCCTCCCACTCCTCCCTCCACCTTTTAAATAGGTAAGCCTGAAGGCAGGGAGGGTATTAATACTGTCCCCCCTGCCTTCCAAGCAGCTCTGAGAGAGTTTGTTTGGCAAAGAGGTGTAAATGCCATAAATAAATAAATAAACCCAAAGATTACCTGGTCCAACGACAGTGACAGGGTTACTCTTCTTCGAAATAACTTTCCGTCCAGAAAGATGCACTACATATCCACACCTGAAGAGTCCCACATTCTTGAGCTTCATGATGCTCATGTTGTAGATGTAGATGTTGCCGTGTGAAGCCACAGCTGAGACGCTAATCCAGTCGCCATAAAACTGGAACTCCTTGAGATTCTTCGTTTCAGGTGGAGCTGAGCACACAAGGCTGACCGAATCTCCCAGGTTGTCCTTGATGAGGTAGGGGTTCAAAGAGAGAGCGGGGGCTTCTGGGGGTTCTAGGAAAGAAGGATAAACACTCAGGGTTGAGATTCCTTTATGTAACAGAGCCAGCAGCTATACTAACTCCTCTATCCTGAAATATGCTTGCAATGGTTGGGTGGGAAGAGAGAAATTGAGAGAGGATGCAGATTCAGGTGTCTGTTTTTAGGTTAATTTTTGACAAGGTGAAAGGACGCAAAGGTTGGGGAAGAAATCTGATCCAGTTGCATTTTCTGAAACCACATGCTAACCGAACCTCTCACACCCTTTGAAATTTGCAATGCAATTCTGCAGCCAGATAATCCATCTACCTTCAGTTAATGGCGTGCACAAAAACAGGCCTCTCAAATAACTTTACAGACAGGGAACTGTCAAAACAAGCATAGAGACTGCATAAATTGGTATTTTCTGCCACCTGGTGTGGTTAGGATTTGCTGCTGTAGTCCAGGAAGTTCTGGCCCGGTTCTGCTGATCAGAGTTAATGCAGGATCAGAGCATCCAGGCTGGCCCAAGACAATTTGGCACCTGAGGCAAACCACAAAATGGTGTCCATTTCCCTAGCCCTAGTGAAGATCTACACAGGGAACATGGATGGGAACAGCACCTCCTATTCACCAAGAGACTGCTGTACAGTTGGCATTGGGAGGCAGCAGCCAAGTAGGGGGCAGATCCAGCCCGCAAGGAGCACACCACAGCTGTCGTTGTGGAGGCAGCAGTGGCTGACACATTCTTGGGAGGCCAGATCTGCTGCCCCTGTAGATTCTGCTGCCTGAGGGAGTCACCTCACATTGCCTCATGGATAGGCTGGCCCTACAGAGCACCTCCTCTGAATATAGGTTGAATCTACCATGCAGATCCAAAACTTTCCCTAGAACTGCTTCCCGGATGAAAGTAGAAGTCGGAAACTAATATATGCCCCAAGGGGTTTTCTGGCACAGAACCACTGATGTCCTAGGGACTAGAAACCTACCCTTCACTTGTAGAGAGATGGAGTTGCTTCGGGCAGATGTGACCTCTGTGTCAGCTTTCCCCATCCAGGAACCACAGCTGTAATTTCCCGTGTTGTTCGTTTCAGCCCTAAAAACCAGTTTGCCCTTTTGATAAGGGTCGGCAGCCATTTTGAGAATCTGTTGCCCGTTCTGATTGAAGAACCTGTATCCCTCCACCGTCTCATTTGGGGAAGCTGAGCATATGAGTACAACCCTATCGCCTTCAAAGTATTCGGGATAATTTGGCTGTACCGAGAGTTTGGGGGGTTGGAGAGCCCCTGGAAGAAAAGCAGAGGGATCTCAGTGGCAGGCACAGAAGGGGAACCTGAAAAGAATTGTCACAGTGTGTGGGGTGCTCTGTTTTAGCCTTGTTCTCTTCCAAGTTACTCCACCCCACCCCCACATGCTTCTAAAAAATTCTGCAAACCATGAGATACAGACCAGATCCCTTACAAAATGCTCCATTCCATTTCTCCCCCTCATGCTATTCCTGAAATATTTTATTATACTTCTGCAAACACGAGGTTCTCCCAATGCCTGCTGGTAACTTCCCTTTTCTGTCCTGATGGTGTCGTTTTCGCTATATTAGGACCCACACATGGACAGTGAGATCACTGTCAGCATATAGAATTCTGTTATGATACATAAGCCGGCCTGGGAATTAGAAGCTTTCTACAGTCTCTTCATGGAAAGTTGGAGCAACATTGCACAAAAATGAGGAGGAAGACTGAGGTGGTGAGATTCAGGACTGTACCACTTCAGACTACAGGTGCAGACAGTCATATTTTGGAATATCCCCTATAAGCACTCGCTGAATGTACTCATCCAGGATACAAGAGGGGAAACTGTGGTAAACCAATTGAGCATACAGCACACTTTTCCTCACCTCACAACAACCTTGTAAAGTAGGTCAGGCTGAGAGTTAGTGCATACCCCACAACATTTCTCCAATGAAAATAGGGACACCCTAAGGAAAAGTGGGACATTCCAGGATCAAATCAGAAACCAGGACGGCTTCTCTGAATCAGGGACATATCTGGAAAATAGGGACATTTGGAGGGTCTGTTAGTGATTGGCCCAACATCACGCACTGAGCTGGAGAAGGGATTTGAACCTGGATATCACAAGTCCTGCTCCAGGGGTCAGTGGGAAACTTTCTGGCATCACAGGCCAGATTTTTATCAGTATCGGCCATGTGGGTCAAATGTGACAAGTGGAATTTGATTTTCCTCACAGTGTGATTTCTGCAATAAAAATGTCAAAATTCACTACTTTTATGCTGTATGATCAGCAGAGGATAATGGAAGTTGTAGTCTAAAACAGTTGGAGGGCATCAGGTTGAGGAAGTTGGCTCTAAGAGTTGAACAAAAGAAAAGTGTTCTTCTCTAGAGACACTCTTGTCTTTTCCACATCAACAACTCATTGTGGAGATGTTGGAATGTTACCTGCAGATGATGCTGGCTGTAGAACAACATGAGGGAAAACTGAAAGAGAGAAGTAAAAAGGAGGGATGAGGCATGTTTAATAGGCCTGGAAGTTTGAACTGATTTGATCTGAAGATTATTTACATGTTATATTTATCTCAAGGGAGCACATGTAAGGTTCATTGGTAGGCTCCCATCCAAGCACTGACTAGACTCTGAGACCTGCATAGCTTCAGGAAGGCTGCAGCATCAAATCCCTATGCATTATTTAGCCCCTACAAAACAAAACTATGTTGTCAACATTACGGGGGGAAATATCATTATGGTGAAGAGCATAAAATGAACAAAAATCACATTCTTGAAATAAGTACAAAACACATCACAAATCAGTAGGTCCGATAAATTAAATGTCAAGTATGCCGGATCACTCTCAGCCCCCCAGGAAAGCTGGACGAGTTTTGACGATGTTGGAGGTGTCTGCCTGATGTTTTCTGGCACTTCGAAAGGACAGGTGCTACCACACTCAGATGCCCTTTTCTCAGCGCATGTAAGATGAACCTCGTGAGCATAAGGCACTACTAAGAGGGCCTCTCCAAAGGATTGAAGTGACTGGACATAATACAGGAATGGTCCGACTGAGAAGTTCAACTTTGCAGGCTTTGGCTGCACCATATGGGTGTTACCAATTGGTGTTACCAATTAAAGAGTGTTAAAGCACATACCCAAGTCTTATCCACCAAGGCAATCCTTACACACTTTTGCTCTGATGTTCCAAAAAAGAAGAGACCTCTAGCCAGGCTCTCGATTTTCTTTAGGGGGGATGAGCAAAGCTCCCACAGTGCCCCCTTATGGACTCTCTGTCTCCTCCTGTATGGGAAGAGGGTGTCTCTCCGTGGGCTCTCTTCCTCCCTCTGCCCAATTCACTGCTGCCCATTCCAGTTGCCTCTGAGCCTCATCCAGACTACCACCCAGAGGAGAAGCACAAGGCAGGTGGGAGGCGCTGTTGCCAATCCCTCACTGTTGTTGTTGCTTGCTTGTACAGAGATAGTGGGTGAACGCTGGCAGTGATAGCAAGGCAGAGGAGGACCAGGTATGCTGAGCCTTAGAGAATGTCAAGTGTAAGAGGCCCCATAGCCCCACCCTCTTTCTCTGTGTGTTTATTATTCTGACAGAAAGGATGACGAGGGTAGAAATAACAGACTTGTATATTTGCATACACACCATCACATAGTCCAGGATGAGAGATGACCATTTGTGGTTACTAGCTGCTTTTCATTACTCAGCTATTAAGTTCTGCTTCACACATTTCCACATCTGTTTCTAGCTCCCCGCCCAAAAAAATCCTCATGAAATTTCAGCAGTATTTTAGTTTCTCTTAATATGCAGCAATTTCTGTATCCAATTCACTTAATATGCCTTTTTGTGGAAAACGATTTTCAATAATATGATGCACTTTGCACGATTCCCCCCTCCACGTATATTTTTATATACATGCATTCATAAGAATGCTTACATGCATACTGCACGCATGTACTTTTGCACACGTAGCTTGGCTGCAGAACGGCGCTTCAAAATTTTGAAAATGTGAATTTTGAAGGACGGCTGCATTTCTGTTTCATGTCTCATTTTGGAACATGTGAATTAGGTCGGTTCACCCATTAACATGAACTGAATTTAAATTCTCAGCTATCGCTAGTGAGGATGCAACTGAGAAGTCTGTTTGCCCTCTTCGGGCTGGCTGGCACTGTATCTCATTTGTGAACTGGCCTCTAGCAGGCTGGATCATCCTCATGCTGCCATAATGGCCAATTTAGGGAGCAGGAATTTAGGGGGCATTCCACTGGGCACAGGGCCAACTAGCCAGTAGTGACACTTGACGCTATGCCCAGGGAAAGCTTAAATACCTGCAGGGCCGTGATATTGTGCACACACACACCACTTGAATGGCAATGCCCATCAACTTGGGGGGGTAGCCCCCTCAAATATTTTGTTGGGGGGGTCCAAAGACCCCTCACCTCCTAGGAGTTGGCTCCTATGGGTCAGAGCGTGTTCTCAGCAATTGCTAGCCCTGAAGCCAGTTTAAAAATTTATCAAGATGATTCTTTTATGATGGATCAAAGCAGGAATTAAAACCCAGGAGAAAGGAGTGGTAGAAGAAGAGGTTGGGGGAGAAAGAAAGTAGCAACATACCTAGCATGGGAACCAGAAGAATAACCTCCATGTTGAGAAGGATCTCTCTCCACCTGGACTGCACCTCCTTGGAAACTTGGTATCGCCAGTTTTTATATCACCCTTCCTCTCCAAGGCAGACCCTTAAAGTGTCTTTACAGGAGGGCGGAGGAACATCAGTGAAGCCCATATTTGCATAATCGCCCAGAGGGGAAATGCAGTCATTATTGGGGAAAGAGCCATTGGACTGAGGGACTTTGCTGCCTAAAATAGAAAATGGAAATAGGTCTGGCCAGACTAGAGGAGTCAGCACTTGACCTGCTAACTGCGTTGATAATTCCTGTTTTGTTCGTGTGCTCAACACATGCTCTGCTCCAGCCAGCAAAAATGCAGAGAGAAGAGGTTTTGTTGCAGGAGAGAATTGGAGCCAGTGGAGGCTGGTGCATTGGGGCAAATGGGTCACTGCCCCACCAAACTTACCTTGCTGTTAGCCGCGCTCCACCTGCCTGCTGCCTTAGTTCCAATCAATCCAGTGGGAGATCCATTTTTGATAGAGGACTAACTCAGTCTGACACTTCCAAACTTGCTTGTTTCAGTCCAGAACACAACCCCCAGTCAGATGACACATTTTTCCAGATTTTTCTTGAGTGAGTGTGTGTGTGTATAGCAGACAATAGTGAGACGGACAATGTAGTGTTTGGTGGAAAGTGAACTTCTGCAGAGTGCTAGCAGCACTGAGTGTGATGAAAACAGGCCAGGCATTACTTTTTAAACTTTTTCATACACAATGAAAAAGGGGAGTGAAGAGTGGATCACCAAATAGCAGCCAGGAATATGTCTCTGTTTGCAGAATACTATCTGTATTTATTAGTATGCGTTGTAAACCACCCTGGGATCTTTGATGAAGGGTAGTATACAAATGTTAATAATAATAATAATAATAATAATAATAATAATAATACTTAGAAAGAATCCAGAAAGAGATGTGTTTGATTGATAGAGAGCATGCTCATTTCCCATAGTGACACTCTGTCTAGTTTTATTGCAACTATTGTGGTACTGATCTTCCTTCCTTCCTTCCTTCCTTCCTTCCTTCCTTCCTTCCTTTCTCTCTCTCTCTCTCTCTCTCTCTCTTTCTTTCTTTCTTTCTTTCTTTCTTTCTTTCTGTTGTTGTTTTTAGCAAAATGATTATAATAATAATGTAAAAATTGTTCATGTTTATTGAGGGAGTGAAATATATTTCCAAATGCTAGGGCTGATCTAGGCGTATCAGACAGCCACTAATACTGAGAGGAGAATGTTGAAAAGAAAAGTACAAGTTTCAAAGCAATTGTCCCAAAGGTTGGAAGGACCTGAGTTGCTGTCGTTGTTGCTTTCGATGAATTGGTTTTTTATTTTTGTTTTTTCATTTAAAAAAAGGAGGAGGGGGGAAGCCGCATGTTAGAGCAGGGATCAGGAAACTGGCTGAAGCTGACGGAAATTGAAATTCAGCAACATTGCAGGGCCAGAAGGTCCTCATTCCTGTGACAGGTTTACACAACAAAATGATTGTGCGAGGCCATCAATTTACCACCTCCCCTGAAACAATTGCTGCAGCAAGTCACTTATAATATGTGATAAAGCCTGTAGAGACAGAGCAATCAAAATGATTTCCACTGCAAATGTCATGCCCCAGAACTTGGTTTCCACCCCACAGCCCTCTGTTTGTGCTCTTTTGTGTAAGATGGATCCAGATTTTTCCTCCTGGTTATGTGATTTATGGGGGAAGCTGGCTCATTTGGTGAATGAATCCATAATCAGGTTGATGAAGAGCTGAGGTCGGACTGCCATCAGTCGGACAAAGAGGACTATTACAGTCACCTGAAGACGAGACCTAAACATGATTTTAAAAATAGCAAGAGATGAGAGGCTTCCCTGGAACATAACTTCAAGGCAAAGATGCAACCCAGACCAACCATTTCCCTCCCCAACTCCCAGTGTTGTGACGCTTGAGGTGGAATGCTTTGGGAATGGGACCAGTTCGGATAAATAAATAAATAAATAAATAAATAAATAAAGTGAAGCTTGCTAGAGAGGTGGTGGGACCCAGGCTGGTTTAGATATAAAGGGACCCCTGACCATTAGGTCATGACCAACTCTGGGGTTGCGGCGCTCATCTCGCTTTATTGGCCAAGGGAGCCAGCGTACAGCTTCTGGGTCATGTGGCCAGCAGGACTAAGCCGCTTCTGGCAAACAAGAGCAGCACACGGAAATGCCGTTTACCTTCCCACCGGAGCGGTGCCTATTTATCTACTTGCACTTTGACATGCTTTCGAACTGCTAGGTGGGCAGGAGCAGGGACCGAGAAACGGGAGCTCACCCCATCGCGGGGATTCGAACCGTGACCTTCTGATCGGCAAGTCCTAGGCTCTGTGGTTTAACCCACAGCACCACCCACGTCCCAATGGTTTAGATATAACTATCCCTATGTCATGATCCTGAATCCTTTGCCACACAGAAAGCCTCAGAGGCAATGCCCCCACTCCCCGCAGCCTCCACAGGTGGTGAGAAAGTGATCTGGAATGTCATGGCCAATCAAGGAAGACAACTCTGGGCTCAATCAGGGATGGATAACCTGTTGCCACCCAGATGTTGCTGGGCTTCAACAGCCAGCAAAGCCAATAATCTGGGATGGTAGGGGACATAGTCCAGCAACAGTTCGTGATCTCTGCTTTGCATGATGGAAGGCTCAAGTCTTCGAAGGCCTCAAGGCTACCATCACACACCTAACACCACAGTGGTTTTCAGTGAAACTGAATCATCTTAAACCCTTACTTCAACCACAAAAAATGTATTGGGCCATACCTGCTCCAAAGTACATGTTTGAAAGGAAATGTTTACTCATTTCACTTACCTGTGGTTTAAAAACACAAGTGGGAGATGAGGAAGATGAGACTGTTGATGGTGAAGAAGGAGCCACCAATGGCCGCCATCCGTTTCCAGCTGGAAAAGTTGACTAAGTTCCCGTTGACTAAGAAAAAGAGTTTCTGGTTACAGAGTGTAATGAAAAGATGCCACATTTCACGCAAGTTGGGTCCTCTTATTCAGAATCAGATAAGACTTTGTGGATATTGGTTTGGGCCACCCAATGCTTCTTAGTCATTTTGGCAGACTCTCCGAGTGTTATTTCTACAGAATCTCGCCATGTGATTTACCTTTCTTATCAATTCTTGATCTCGCAACCAAATCTATGGAAGATAGGTTTGCAAGAGAGATAGCATTGCCCCACTCCCTGCTTCCCCCACGGCCAGCTGGAAAAATTCAGTCAAAGGTTTGTGCATCTGTGATGGAAGGAACCATTTCCAGTGGGGATTGTCAGATGCAACTCAAGCAGCATGTCTGGGAAATAACTGTGTGGTAGAAGCTGCCCTACCCTCCTGGCATTGGCTCTGCTCTCACATGTGATCTGTGGAGGAAGAGTGCTTCAAAACAAAGCATGTTCTTTATCAATGAGAAGACAACAAGGAGCCACCAGTGAAGAATTCCTTTTGTTAACTGCGCAATAAGATCTGCAAATTTAAGAACCTTTACTTCAGCTTGTATTTTCCTTCTCCCTCTGACTCCCTTTTTCTTTGCATGTTGTCTCTTTTTTATTTTTGGATTGTAAGTCTGAGAGCAGGGCCCATCTTAATATTGATTCCCCCCCCCCCCAAGCAGCCCTGAGAGCCTTTATTGGCTAAAGGCAGGTAAATAAATAAATTAGATAGAAGATAGATAGATAGATAGATAGATAGATAGATAGATGATAGATAGGTAGATCTGGAGATTACTTGTTTGAGCAATGGTGACAGAATTACTCTTCTTTGAAATAACTTTTCTTCCAGAGAGGTCCACTACGTAACCACACATGAAGCTTCCCACATCTTTGGGTTCCATGATGCTCATGTTGTGAGTGTAGACGTTGCCATATGGAGGCACAACTGATATTTCCTCTTTGTCGCTATAGAACTGGAACTCCTTGACTTCCTTTCTTTCAGGCGGAGCTGAGCACACAAGGCTGACATTATCTCCCAGGTTGTACTCAAGGAGGCTGGGGTTTAAAGAGAGGGAAGGGGCTTCCGGGGCTTCTGGGAAAGAAAGATAAACACCCAGGGTTGAGATTGCTTCGTGTAACACAGAGACAGAGGCTAGCTAAACTCCTCCACCCTGAAGTATGCTTGCAATGGTTGGGTGGGTGGAGAGAGAGGGTGGGAAGAGAGAGAGATAGGGTGAGGGCAGGGAAGCATTTTTAGACATCAGATTTTAGGCTTGCAATGAAATAATTGAAGGATGGAGGAGAAATGTGATTTAGTTCCCATTTAAAGGCGAACCTGGTTGATTTGCACTTTCTAAAATGGCAGAAAAACTAAAACACACCCACACTTCTCTGAATTATGAACTATGCAGAACTGGCCAAACTGACATACAAACTGTGAGATAAGGACAACTGTGACTTTAAAGAAGAATGGGAACTTGTCACAAATTACTTAAAAAGACAACAAAATGAATTGGACTCCTTGGCAGGTTTTGAATAAACACACACAAATTTATTGATTGATAACATGGTAGATAGATAATGTGAGGATTTGTATAATTTTATAACATGCAGAGAATAATATGGGTTGAGAAATCAGAGAGAGGAGCTGAGGGAAGTCTGGGAGGGAGGGGGAAATAATGAATATGATATGTTTTGATATGTTGTTATGTTGAAATTGCCAATAAAAACATTTTTAAAAATAAACAAAAATAAAGGTGAACCTAACTGATTTGACAGAAAAACTAAAACACAGCCACACTTCTCTGAATTTTGAAATGCGGTTCTGTAGCCAAGAGATGTGTACAAAAATACATAAAGGTAAAGGTACCCCTGCCCGAAGGCCAGTCGTGTCCGACTCTAGGGTTGTGTGCTCATCTCACTCTAGAGGCCGTGATCTGGCGCCGTCTGAGGACACTTCCGGGTCACGTGGCCAGTGTGACAAGCTGCATCTGGCGAGCCTGCACCAGCGCAGCTCACGGAAACGCCGTTTACCTTCCCGCTATAAAGCGGTCCCTATTTATCTACTTGCACTTAAGGGTGCTTTCGAACTGCTAGGTGGGCAGGAGCTGGGACTGAACGACGGGAGCTCACCCCGCCGCGGAGATTCGAACCGCCGACCATATGATCGGCAAGTCCTAGACACTGCAGTTTTACCCACAGCGCCATCCGCGTCCCAAGCACAAAAATACATAGATTACGACAAAGTGTGCCTAAAGACGCAGATAAAGCCCAATGTCTTGGGTCAGGATGTCGCCAGCACTGGTGACCGCACACTTGAGATGGTAGACAGTGCTGGGTTCCACCATAATCAGTGTATTGGCAATGGCTCACCTCTCCAAAAGGGTATGGGAGAACGTGATGCTAGCATCCAATATCAAGATAAAGGTCTATCAGGCTTGGTGCTTTATGGAAGTGAGCCGTGGGCAACTTACAGCTGTCAGCAGAAGGCCACAACGCCTTCCACATGCACTGTGTCAGGAGGATTTTGGGTATCACATGCCAGGATAGAATTCCAAACAAAGATGTGTTCTCCCAAGCCCACATTCCCAACATGTTCACACTCCTGTCTCAGAGTTGCACTAAAATGTTCCTATCCAACTTTGTACATACGACGAAAGGGATCTGAGGGTTTTATTCAACGCTAGTACTACTCAGAATAGCTAATTAACACGGCTCATTTGGGCTCATTAAATAGTTGGCAACAACCCGGAAATTTGAATTTGAAGCTTAGCAGGAAAAGAGTCAAAAGGAGCGTTCAGGTTGCATAACCTAGCCTTTGCTGCCACTTAGTGGTTTTGCTTCTCCTTTCCACATTTTCCCAACAAGTTTAGTTTCTTTTCACCAAAACTGATAACTAAGAATGAAAGTAATCGCCTAAACATTTTTTCTTTGGGAAACTTCCTGCAAACTCGGTTTCTCTTCTCTACAGTAAAAAAATTGAAAACATAAAAAAGGGCTGATGTTCAACTAAGTCATACTCAGTGTGCAGAGGTCATTGAGCTGTTGAGAGATTGTTCCGGTTAGAGAAGCACATATATATACAGCAGAGCTTCCTCCTCTTCATCATATTGAAGGGGGCACCTTGCAGGCACAACACTTCTGCACTGTTTTTTTCTGCTGAAAATAGCCACCTGAAGCTATAATTTTCCCAAAAGGTTAATATTATTATTATTATTGCAGCAAATGAGTGCATTTGCGATACGTTTGTTCATTCTACACTTTCGGGGCTACAAAAGTACAGAAAGGGTCCTCCGTATAGTGTGTTACATAACAGTGAGAGGTTCCCCCACCCGAAAGCTAATAGCGTATATGTGTTACAGATAGGTAGCTGTGTTGGTCTGCCATAGTCAAAACAAAAAAAATTCCTTCCAGTAGCACCTTATATGTGTGTTTGCCTGATTTTTGCTGAGATTGTTTCTAGGGAGGGAAAGATTAAGCTGATGGCTGCCACCTCCCACCCAAGGCATTTATTTTGTTCTTTATTTTAAAGCTGTGATTTGCTAGTCATATCATTTGTATTCTGCATAGTTATCCACCCCTACCCCGCCCTGGGACGAGGATGGCGCTGTGGTCTAAACCACAAAGCCTAGGTAGGGCTTGCCGATCGGAAGGTCAGCAGTTCGAATCCCCACGACGGGGTGAGCTCCCATTGTTCAGTCCCAGCTCCTGCCCACCTAGCAGTTCAAAAGCATGTCAAGTGCAAGTCGATAAATAGGTACCTCTCTGGCAGGAATGTAAATGGTGTTTTCGTGCACTGCTCTGGTTCTCCAGAAGCAGCTTAGTCATGCTGGCCTCATGACCCAGAAGCTGTCTGCGGACAAATGCCGGCTCCCTCGGCCTATAGAGCGAGATGAGCGCACAACCCCAGAGTTGTCCGCGACTGGACCTAATGGTCAGGGGTACCTTTACCTTTACCTTTGCTCCGCCATGAGCAAGGCTGTAGATTTCTAACACTGGGGTCCCCAGACTTTCTGGGTCCAGGCTCACATTGGGAAATGACAATTTCTTAGTCATGAGCAACAACAACAACAGCAAATCACATTTCCCAGGGGAGGAACAATGTCTAGAAACTCTATACCCCCCCAAAAAAGCCTTGCAAAATATCTACATATGTACCAAAACAAATAAAGCACAAACTAAAGAAACAGGCCACCGGCTAGCAATGAGGACACCCCCAACCAAACAACCCACTTAAAAAAGAAAGAATGATAAAACTGGGAGGGCATGGGCCCTTGTCAGTCATCAAGAGGGGTGTCAGAGGACATCAAATTGGGGGTGCCAGATGTAGCAAGTGGCAGAGGAGAAGAAAATGAATTGGACAGACCATCCCTTAAATTTTCATTGGAACAGGCCACCAACGTCCCAGGAACTAGAAACCTACCTTTCACTTGTAGGGAGATGGAGTTGCTTCGGGCAGATGTGACCTCTGTATCAGCTTTCCCCATCCAGTAATCACAGCTGTAATTTCCCATCTTGCTTGTTTCAGCCCTAAAAATCAGTCTGCCCTTTTGATAAGGGTCGGCAGCCATTTTGAGAATCTGTTGCCCATCCTGATTGAAGAACCTGTATCCCTCCACCGTCCTGTTTAGGAAAGCTGAGCATATGAGCACAACCCTCTCGCCTTCAAAGTATTCGGGATAATTTGTCTGTACCGAGAGTTTGGGGGGAGGGAGAGATCCTGGAAGAAAAGCAGAGGGATCTCAGTGGCAGGCAAACAAGTGGAACCCGAAACAAACTGTCACAGTGTGGGGTGCTCTGTTTTAGCCTTGCCCTGTTCCAGGTTACTCCACCCCACCCCACATACTTTTAAAATTTATTTGTGTGTTTCTGCAAACTGTCTTATTCAGCCCAGCTCTGTTTCAGGACTTTTCATTCCACCCCCTCCCCTCTTAATATATATATATTTTGTACTTCTGCAAACCTTGCAGTTTTCCCCAAGCATGCCAGTAACTTTGCTCCTAAACATGGGTATATGTTTCATTCTACCTACATAAGGATTCACACTTGGAGTGTGACTTTACTTTTATAATACACAGTGGTGTTGCAAAAGGGGGGCAGAGGTGGCACTGGGATTTGTAAGTTTGGTACAGTTTGCTCCTGGAAAGTACCCAGGTATAAGAGTGAAGTTACTAGCATACTTGTGGGAACCACAAAGCAGCTGGAGGGGGTGCTGGGTTGCTAAACAATAGCACAAAAGAGACAAGGATTCTCCTCTAGAGACACTCTGGTCTTCTCCACATAAACAACTCACTGGGAAGAAGTTGGAATGTTACCTGCAGATGATGCTGGCTGCGGAACAAGAAGCAGGAAAACTGAAAGAGAGAAATAAAAAAAGGAGGGATGGAACTGGTTAAATAAGCCTGGAAGTTTGAACTGATTTGATCTGAAGATTATTTACATATTATATTTGACTCAAGGGAGCATATGTATTAGGTAGGCTCCCATCCAAGCATTGATCAGACCCCAGACCTGCATAGCTTCAAGAAGGCTGCAACAATATATCCCTTTAGACCTTAGGCTTAGGTCTTCAGCCAATGGGTCTCTACCCACAGGTCGGCTCCACGGCCACGCCAGGCGGTTCACAGAAAAACTGCCATCACCACGCAAACCCTTCAGTCCAACCTGGAGGCTGCAGCCTTTTATTCCCCTTTCTTATGTCTTACCTTCCAACTTCTTCCGATGCAAAGCTGGAAGAGGACGTGTTCCTGGGAGACTCACATGACACGTGCCTCACGAGATATTGTACAGTGCCTCCAAAGCATGCGTTTGGGGGAGCTGTATGGGGTCATCGCCCCAGGGAAAGTGCTTCTTTGAGGTGAGAGCATGACAGATCACGACACCCAAAATGGCCGCAGAGGTTGTGTGAGAAAATACGGGATGTGCCTCTTTTTCCAGGGCATTTGGAAGGTATGTTATGTGAGAGAGTTCCCTCCTCATTTCGCACCAGCCCAGCCATGCTCCCACATAGTGGAAACACGCTGCCTGGCTTGAGAAGAGGCTATTTACCTGACTATTGCAGCCTCACTGAATCACATAAAGCTGGTTGTGTTGTGAAGCCTAGAAGCCACTGGACTCCTCTGCATAGAAAAGAAGCGCCGGAATGGCTGCAGCTGTTGGTGGTGAAACACTCAGGGAGGAATGAATCCAGGCAGCCCCGAGTCTAGAGATGTGAAGGTTTATTCACCAGTAAGGACTGCTATTCAACAACTTCTATTTTCTTGGAACAGAAGGATTGGGCTGGGGGGAAATGATGTGGGGATTCTAGCTGAACTTAATGGGCAAACATGCCTCAAATACTGGATAAGATGAAATTGTTGCTTTGTGTAGCTATGTCTGAACTCTACCTATGTTCAGTCCTGTTGAGGTTTTTATATCTCCTCCCCTCTCTACTTCTGACTGTATTACGTTCTGAGGGTACTGAGAGAGAGAAAAATCAGATTTATTTTCTGTACATCTGAGTTCAGGAAAGTTGATACATGGAAAGGGAAGGCAGACCGGCAGTTGTGAGAAAGGGGGAAAAAGGCATCCACAGAAGGTGTCAAAAAGAAAATAAAACCTACAGAAAAGGGAAAGGAAATGCAGCTGACCAGGGAGAGCGAACCTTAGTTAATCATAATTAAATTAACATACAAATCCTACGCATGTCTACTCAGAAGTAAGGCCCATTTATTTTAATTGGACCTGTTCTCAAGTAAGTTTGCATCTTTAATATTTCAGGATTTGGAATGAAGCTTAGTTTTATTTAGTTGCTTTTAAAAAGCATTATAAAATGGCATTAAGTAGAAAAAGAAAAAAAAGAAGAAAAGCGTTTTGTTTGTTTGTTATGGAACTACAAGAATATGTTGCTTCAGTATAGCAGAATCTGGGAAGTTTCCTCAAACGTCAACCAAGGAGCAACAAATAGCAACTGGCGTCTGTATTGGGTGCTGAGGGTGATGAACTTTCCCAGAAACCCTGTGCATTTTTATTTCAAGAAAGCTGATATTAGGAGAGGACCTAAGTGACAGAGAGGTGAATTAAAGGCAGCATTGAAGATGACACAAGATGGAAGAAAGTGAGCAAAGGAAGAAGAGGGGAGATAAATTAGCAACAATGAGCAGGTGAATTGAAGTAGAAGGCTGAAGTACAGAAAAGTTTGAGAAGGTAGAGAGAATGTAGAAAACAGTATGAGTGGAGAGGAAGAGGAAACAGGAAGATTGTGAAAGTTGAGATGACCGTAAGTGACAACATAATGCAAGCATAAATGCGGACAATGACTTTTCCTCTTGCTCAGTATAAGCCACAGCTTAATTCAAGAGAAAACCTCCAGAAATCAAAGAGATACTACTAAGTATAAATAAGAAACGAACATGTGAAAGCTGGTCCCATGTTCCTGGCTCGGATTTTCTGTCTGGACTAGTTGAAGACCACTGCTTAAGATCATGTCTTGGGGCAATGTATTTGTTCGCAAAAAAAATAATATACAGCCAACATTAAAGAAAATAAATCATTGTAGTGGTGAAAAACAAAAAAGCAACAATAACATTTCATTCCTGAAATAAGTACAAAATGCATCACAAATCAGTAGATTAATTATACATCAATTTACATTACACACACACACACACACACACACACACTCTCTCTCTCTCGCCTGGCCACACTGATGAGTTTTAAGCATGCAACTATACAAGGCACCACTGCCCACACCCTTTTCCTCTGAGGCAGCTGGTGTGTTTGTTGCTGCTGTTATCGCTCATTCTTGCCAATGCTTCTCTATTCAGATATGGTAAGTGGACAGAACAGAGCAGAGCAGGGCAGGACCAGAGGCTGGGGTTATCAGAAAGTAGCAAGACATACCTAGCACAGGAATGAGAAAAAGAACTTCCATGTCGAGAGGGGTCTTTCTCCACCTTGATTCCACCTCCTTGGAAACTCTCCTTCGATATCTCTAGCTTTGAATATGGTCTTCCCCTCCAAGGCAATCTCTACAAGAGTCTTCTACAGAAGCTCAGAGCAGGGAAGCACGTCTTTTCACAATCACCTTACTGGGAAGTCTAAACTGATCTCAGCTGCTGGACCATGGGAACTTACTGCTCAAAAGAGAAACTGGAAATGGCTTGCCCAAATTGGAAGAGTCAGCAGACAGTATGAGCTGTCAACCACTTTAGTATTTCCTGTTTTATTGCTACACCCAGTAAACTGGACATTGCTCCACCAAGCTCAGCTTGCCATCAGTCACCCCCACCTTACTTCCAGCTGGCTGTCACTGGCTGTCAGCCGTTACCTCCTTAGTCTCAATGTAGTTATCTCCATCTATTATTGGCTCTGGCTTCCTCCAGCAATAGACTCTGACTCCACCTACTGTTGGTCTCCTTGCTTTCTGCCCAATCAGCCCCAATGGGCACCAACCTTCATTGACTGAGACAGTTTTACATACCAGCTGTAGATCCAGGGCATGTGAGAATGTCAAAGTTCTGGATCAGACCAAGGTCAACCAAACCTTGCACTTTGGAATGGAGTAGGAATTCGTTTGACTTGTTTTCCACAGAGGACGGCCTTAATCCTATGCTTCCAAACATGCTTGTTGTGGATCAGAACACAACCCCCAGTACGATGATGCACTTCGGCAGACTATGGATGTATTTTCAATGCACAAAACATATAGAAGATGCATACAAAATGCCTGTTTTAATGGTGAATGCTTTGAAAAGTGTATACCTTGAAGCTACTAGCTGTGAGGATATGCAACTGCTTTTACATGCTTTAATTTGATTATTTTAAAATCTGTGTTGTTTTATGGCTGTGTTGTTTGCTGCCCTGGGCTTCTTTGGAAGGAAGTGCAAGAGAAAAAATTACCAACAGTGGCAAGAATAATAAACAGGAATGCTTAAGGGGAGGATAATAAGCCGTAACAGAAGGCCCACCGTAAGACTGCAGCAGGGACGTCTGCAGAAGGAAAAGGCACCTAGAACCTGTCTATTTCACTATAGTCATGCTTTGGGACTGCATCAATTTAGTAAGTGCTTTGAGACCTGAGATTTGACTTGAGACCTTGTTGGACTTCAAATGAAATTAATAAATGTACATATGAAGAGGAAGCCCATCACACACACACACACACACACACACACACACACACTTAATACCTGGCTGTCAGTCTTTCCCTGCTTGGTCTTCTACTTTCTATTTTATGTTAGGATCCAGATTCCTCCCCCACCTCAGGTTCTAACACAATTTTTTAGGTCTTGTATGGTTTGGCTCAGACAGTATTGCTGTAGGTTTGGAGGGGTGAGTCTGTATGATACCCTGAGTTCCTTGGAATTCTTAGGGTCTAGTATCTAGTAAGAGTTAAAAGCAGATAGAGGATTATATTGTTAAACCAATGGTCATTGCTGGCCACTTAAGTACCTTCATCAGCATAACCAAAGAAGTTTCTCTGTGCCATAGGGCTTTCCTCCTCTCACTTAACTGCCAGGTGGAGAGCATTTTAGGCGAGTGTGTTGTGACTGAGCTGAGCAGAAAGCAGGCCGAGAAGCTGGAGAGGCAGAGACATGCTTGATCTGTGCTGGATCCTGTTGTTGTCATCTGTCTATCTTGGGAGACAATGCATCAAAAGCTGTGACTAATCAAGAAGCAAGATCTGTTGGGGTGTTAATGCTGAGAGCCCCTCCATCTTAGCTAGGGCTGCCCCCTGTCCTGTGTAATACAAGATTGTCCCATATTGCAATGTAAAATGATAAGTCCTGTATTGTTGCAGTTTTGTCCTGTATTTCAGGTCTCCCCCCCCCCATGCCAAGTTAGGGATCCTCTCCAAATGCAGGTGTTTGAAAGGATGTGTGTATTTGAGCTCTGGGGAGCCAAGCACAGACAGAGTTATAAATTTGTGTGTGTGTGTGTATGTGACAAATTCTAGAGGGGCCATCCTGTTAGAACGCCACAGACTGTAATGGATTGCTTTGAAGTCACTTCAGCACAAGATGGAAGAAATAATAATTAATTATTAGGGTTGCCATACTTCCAGAATTTCCTGGACATAGCCGGGATTCAGCTGTCAGAAACTATTTGGGCAGGAATCGCTAAGATGTCTGGGAAAATCCAGACATATGGCAACCTGTGTTGGTAGTGTAGATATGGGCGAATTTCCATCCAATTTTGTCTCCAGTCCTGCTCACCACTGATGAGTGGCCCCCATGAAGGAGAGGAAATGAGGGAATATGGCCCTCCTCCATTGTGCTTTAAAGTTAGCTTATGAAGGTTAGCTGACAATAAACTGAATAATATCAAATTTGAGAGGGCACCATTGGCTCCCTTGGTCTGCCCTAGATTGCTAAAAAGTGAAAACTTCTGGTACCAGGTGAGGAAAGTCACCACAGACTGCCTAATAGGGTTCTAGTCTGGGGCACCTTCTCTTGGTGCTGTGCCTAACTGCAGTGTTTTTGCATCATGCTTCTTTCCGTGTGAAGACATGACAAGAGACAGGTGGCACTTCAGGTCATATATTTATTTCTCTTTATTAACTGTTCTCTATTGTTCAGCTCAGGCCTCATCATAATGACAAAGCATTTGGGGAAAAAGATACAGCTCAGCAGTCCAGCCCCAGAGGCCAAAATGGAGAAGATCTCTACTGCCACCATGTATTTCCCCTTAGTGCTCAGGTAGGTTGGAACGAAGGATACCCAAACACTGCAGAAAACCAACATGCTGAAGGTGATAAACTTGGCTTCGTTGAAAGCATCTGGAAGCTTCCTGGCTAGGAAAGCCAAAGCGAAGCTGACGACAGCTAGCAAACCCATAAAGGCCAGTAGACAGTAGAAGAAGGTGGCATAGCCTTCATTACATTCCACTATGACCTCACCTGCCAATGAGTGCATGTCAAAATCTGGGAAGGGGGGAGCCGATCCCAGCCATGCTGTCGAAATGCCAACTTGAACAAGGGAGCAACAAAGAACAATGGAAGTTGCTAGCCTTTTCCCCACCCATTTGCTCATCCTGGAACCTGGCTTAGTGGCCAAGAAGGCCAGAAGCACTGTCATGGTTTTGGCCAAGACGGACGAAACAGCCACAGAGAAGGTGATGCTGAATGATGTTTGCCTGAGCATGCAAATCACTTTCCCAGGTTGGCCAATGAACAGCAGCGGACAGAGGAAACAGAGCAGGAGGGAGACGAGGAGAGTGTAGCTGAGGCTCCGGTTATTGGCTTTGACAATGGGCGTGTCCCGGTGTTTAATAAAAGTTCCCAACACTAAGGAAGTTACCAGGGAAAAAGAGATGGCAAACAAAGCCACGCTGATCCCCAAAGGTTCTTCGTAAGAGAGGAAACTTACAACCTTAGGGATGCATTGATTTTGAGCCTCATTTGGATGCTGATCTTCAGAGCACTGGAAACACGAGTCCGTGTCTGAGAAAAGGAGGAGTTGAAAAGTCTCAGTGACAATTCATATATTTACATCTTTGTAGAGGTGACCAGGGACTTCCCTGGTTGCTAGAAGTGTAACTGTAGGGTGACTGGGATAGGGTGGGAATTCCTGCCTTCCCCTCCAGAAGGTGCTAGTACGGAGCAATGACCACTTGGTGACCTCTGCACAAACTCATGCTTGCTAACTTGATAGATACCTTGTTAAATCCAGCAGAATAAGCCCATGCCAGAAGAACTATCCAATTGCCAGTGGTGTGCTTACATTGGTTGATTTGTAAAATCCATATACAGTGGTACCTCGGGTTAAGTACTTAATTCGTTCCAGAGGTCCGTTCTTAACCTGAAACTGTTCTTAACCTGAAGACCAGGTTAAGACCAGGTTTAGCTAATGGGGCCCCCAGCTGCCGCCAGAGCACTATTTCTGTTCCCATCCTGAAGCAAAGTTCTTAACCCGAAGCACTATTTCTGGGTTAGCAGAGTCTGTAACCTGAAGCGTATGTAACCTGAGGTACCACTGTAGAAAGAAATCTCGAAGTGGTTTACATGAAATATAATCAGGATGAGGAGGAATCAAGTCATATTAAAATACAACAACAATCAAATAAAACTTCTTAAATGAAAACAGAAAGCCAATATTTACCTTAGATTAAAAAAAAGTTTGAAAAGAAGGATTCTGACTCCAGGAAAGCCTATGTAAGCATATATGCTTTCAAAGAGGCATTTAAAGCTGGTTACTGTAGCTGCCTCTCAAACCACTCAGGGGAGGGTACAAGGGTGGGTGCTGCCACTAAGTCCACTTCCGTGTTGCCACCAAGCAGAGCTGGCCCAGCCATTAGCAGGGTGAGGACGCTCCATCTGGTGGTAGAAGACCCCCAGCTGGCCCTTCTATGGGTGCCCCACTCGGCTTGCTGCCTTTGCTAGCAGGGGAAAAGCGCCACCACCATTGGTGTTGATTTTGGGCCAGATTGCATCCATTTGGGGTGAGATCTCATGCAAACCAGTGCTGCCTGGAAGGGCACACAGCAGCAGTAGAGCGGGCAGTGTTGGCAGCACTTCCCGCTTCACCTCTAGTGGCAAAAGAGGACACTACACTCCAACCACCAAGTGACAATCAGCTGCTTGTGGAATAGCCAGCATGATTTCCTTGGAAGATCTTAAGGCTGAACTTGGTCTGACTGGCCCTTTAGGTGTTGCTGGACTACAACACCCATCACCCCTGGCCATTGGCTGTGCTGGCTGGGCCAGATGGGAGTTGGAGTCCAGGAGGATCTGGAGGTTCCCCATCCCCGCCTTACCACATGTCTTCTCACAATGGTGGTTCTGATTTGACAGGTGGGAGTTCTGGGGTTGAGGAACAGTGGCTCTCTCTATGCAGAGGTGAGATCTGAGTGCCTGTTCAAAGTTCAACTCTCATTTCTCCGGACATCTTTGGTTCTCACTTTTCATTTGCTTGAGAATACTGTGCTCTTTGTCCCTTACCCTCCAGAGCTGAAATCTTCCCTTCTTGGCATGGAGAACAGGTGTAGCAGCAAGATGGCGCACCCTCCTTTGTGATCTTCTGATAGCCAGGCTGGCAGCAGTCATTGCACAATGAGATGGGGGGCACCTGTCCATAAACAACAAATGACTGGAGAAAATGGTATTTTGTTTTCACCAGCTGGTGTTTATTGGGTTTGTTGTTTTTTTAAAAAACATTTTTATTAAAGATTTCTTGGTTTACAAAAGTATATGCAATGTCTCTTTTTTCATGTTACATTTTCTAAAGAACAGTTTCATTTGCTGAGACATTAGTGGTACATTAGGAAGAAAAGAGGTGGAGGGGGGAATGGTGGGTAGGGTGGGGTGGGGTGGCAATGCTTCTATTCTGCTTAGTGTATGTGTGGGGTTTTGTGTCAGTGTTGCTTCTGCGGGTCCTTTTTGCTATTCACTTGTATTCCTTTGGTGGTTAGAGAGGTTAAGCAAGTGAATTGCTGCTATGAAATGATGGCATTTTATCTTTTCTGGTTGGCAGGTCAAATGGTTATTTCCCCACTCCTAGCAGGCCAATTGGGACAGGGTGACTGTTCATCTGTCAATCAAATGTGGGTGCGACTGTCCATCTGTCAATCATCTAACATCATAGCGATATCAGATGCTGATGGTGCTTTTCGGGACACACGGATGTTTGAAACCCTTTTGCAAACAGCCTCACTCTGCTCGTTTAAACCTCCTAATTATTCTTTCTAATCCTTATTACCTTGTAGTTCTCTTCATGATCATCACCGCTAGTTGCCACCGCAACATTCTGTGCTACTTAATTAAGAAACAAACAAACAAACAAACAAAATTTACCTGGCAAAGGATGAATAAATGCTTCATTTCACCCACTTTAAATCTGTTGTCCACCCATTTTACGCTGTAATTCTCTACTCACTGACCTGAGAATGAGCCCCATTGAACTTGGACTTAAATCTGAATAGATTCATAGATTGTGCTGCTGGTGGATAACCTTTCTTTTCATATTAGAGAGGGATATTAGAGACAATTAGCTATTGTCTTACTTTGGTGAATTCTCCATGCCACTGGATTTTTTCCTCATCAATGGTCAACACTTTCTCTGGAGCAGCCTGAGGATCCAGACGTCCTACTTTGATCTTGACATAGGATTGATTTGGGAAAGTGATCAAGTTGGTAACATCAAAACCAGCTTCTAATTCTCCACGTTCATTAAATCTGATTTCATCTCCAGCACTGTTGTTGAATGAGATCCTCTGAAGAAATGAGTGGAGCTTTGCATAAGAGAATTGAAGAACCTTTTAAGTCTTGGAATACACTCAATGATATATTCCCCCCCCCCCCCAGATAATTTTGTAATATGGCATGCTAGTCATAGGGATGGGGAATTCAGTTTAATTTGGATTTTAATGCGAACCTCCCTAAATCACACTTCCTAAAATAACATGTGATTAGAAACACAGCTTTTCTTCTAAATTTGCCCTTCCTTGAATTTTGCAATGCGGTTCATCCCATAATGTGTGCACATTAGAGGAAAGTATGTGCAAAAATGAATATATTTGTGTACATTACATACAGAATGCATTCTGTCAGGGGAAATCATTCGCAAAAAAGGGGGGAGATGCATGCTATAATGCTGATGAACTTTCATGAAGACTTTTTTATTATTGCAAACTGATGGTGAATGGAACTTAAGACTGGAAAAAATGCGCATCTGAGAAAAGGTGAAATTGATGGATTCTCCCATCCCTAAGCTGAACATTTCACACCAAACCACATGACATTCAGGGACACTGGGGGAAACATTACCTTCCAGGGTTCCATATTTAGATGTGTCAGGCTACCTTCATATTTCATTGCTCTGTGACTGGATCTAGAGCTGTACATACTATGTATGGCACGTGCCAGGGCATAGACTGCATTGTAGATACTGTAGCTGTGGCCAGTCATGCTCATTTCAAAATAAGGTGCAGGAAGATTCTCCAGACTCTCTTCTCCGGTACATGTTTCAGTGATGTTTGGTGACTCAGAGGAGTTTGAAACAGAGCAAATAAATGCTTGTTCCCAGAAATCCTTGATAAAACCATCTCCGTATGCATAATAAGGGTTTGCACCCTGAACAAATTCTTGGAAGCCTTGAACTTCCATAGAGTGAATTGTGAAGGAGATTGAACCATGGAACATTTGCATATCAAGAAACCTTTGGAAAGGACTAAATGTGAAATCGATTTGGGCTGTTGTAATCCACACCTTTCCTGCAGAATACACCTCTACAGAATCAGGACGTATTAGAGGAATGAACTCCATTGTCAACCACACAATAGTTGCCACCCCCTGCATGGTGGTAGATTCTCCATATACAACAATAGCATTGGCTTTGCTTTTCATGAAAAGTGGGGTATCATTTAAAATGTGCTCAAACATTTTTGGTATGCTGGCCATCCTCATATTCTTTTTTATTCTTTCTGTGAAGGCCAGACAGATTCTTAAATGGGAAAGAACTGGTTTCAAAGCATCCAAGAAATGTTCTCCACTGTCATCATCTATAGTGATGAGACCTACCCATCTCCACCCAAAATGCAAAAGTAGGTGGGCAATTCCCTGATATTGAAGTGCTTCATTGGGAGCCATGTGGTAAAAGGAAGGAAAACGAGATTCGCCACTCACTCCTGGTTCAAATGAGCCGTATGACAGCTGGGCAGGGAGGCACAGAAGATGACAGAAATTTCAGAGGTGAAATAGAAGAAACACCTCATCACATATTATACTTTTATTTATTTATTTATTCTTATTACTCTATTTTTTAAATAGAGCCACAAAATGATGGTGGAGGATCTATTTTGGTGATGCCAAAATGGCTGCATTCACACACAGGAAGGAGATATTAAAAGGCTTGGAGAGACTCTGTCAGGAGTGCGTGCAGGAGCCAGGCCCTGTGACTGGTAGGGCCTCACAGGACTGGGGCCTTCCTGAGTTTGGCCTGGAAGGGCAAGGCGTGGCCGCACAGGTGAGGCTTGGCAGAAGACTCATAGCACCTGGTGGCAAGGGCCGGGAGGGGTCTATAAGACCAGCATTTCCCTCTGGCTCTTTGCCACAGCAACACGCTACGCACCTATCTTTGCTTCCGCTTTCTGACTCCTGGTATCCTGACTCTTGGATCCTTGGCTTCCTGACTCTTGGACCCTTGGCTTCCTGACCCCTGGACAGCTGACCCTGGACTGCTGATTCCTGTTTCCCAACCTCTACCCTGGTCCCGACGTACCAAGCCGGGACTCTGACAGCCTGTAACCCGGACCGTGACAAACTCCAAGGTTTACAAAAGAACAAAAACCTTCAAGAAAAGACATGTGATGGTGGGAATGAGGAGCTTACCGTGTTCTGGCTCTTACATTGTTCCAGGAGTTGCAGAGCAGAACGCATACAATCCTGGAATTATTATTATCCCTTATCCGTACTCTAGAGTAAGCATGCATACTGCAGCCTAAGTTAACATCAGGGCAGCAAATTTCAGTTTGCCATGAACCTCTGTCAGATAAAGCAGGCAAGACAGTTTTCTGGGATGAATATGAATATTAAACTGGCAGCTTTGAGATCCCCTTTATAAAGAGACATATGCTCAAAGCTCCATTTTGTACCTCTCTGCAAATATCTCATTTTTTCTCAAACCCCACCCAGCATTATTCTTCCTCCTGCTTCTAATTAATGAGCATGCTACCAGAAAGAAAAGGGAAGGGTATGAGATCAGAGGAAATCCCCACAGCCGAATGCCCTACCTGGGGGATCTTGTAAAGGCTCAAGACCTTTGCCATGTGTGCGGTTGTAGCAGAGCTAAGTCCTCCGATGACGGCCGTAAGCTTTTTCTGGATTCCACAGTTATAGTTCGGGAAGAACTGGAGTGAATTGCAGAGCAGGCCCAATGTGGCCTGGTAGGTATTCCTTGCAATGGAACTGCTGTCATAGATGTGGAATCCAAGAGTGACATTAAGCAAGATGCTGGGATTTTCATTGATCTCTTCTACAGCAAAAACCATGGCCAGGATGTGCTGGTAGAACTTTGTCACCACTCTGTAAATAAAGCCATACAATAATTCACCATGGTACCACAGAAATGGTTCGTTGTGCCTTTAAGACACCCTTTGCCATCCTGATGCCCTCTGGATTTTTTGGACTACAGCTCCCATCAGCCTCACATAGTATGGTCAGTGGACAAGGGTGGTGGCAGTTGTCATCTGGAGGGCACCAGGTTGGGGAAGGGTGTTGTAAGAGATTCAGATGCCTGAACCTAAGGAGGTGATGAAATGTAGGAGCATCGTTGAAAATGAGGAAAAGGGACAATGGTCATCTCCTGCTCAGTTATGCCCATATAGTTGCATAGTGTGTGCCGCACAGTGTGCTTTTGTGCAGTAAGAAACGACAAATATTATTTATCGTGGAGTTTGCTTAAAAAATGTAATCCCTGCCTCCTCCTCCTTATTTTGAGATTTGCCAAGGCTGTACCCCTAAATGGGAAGAATCCCAAAACATGTGTTGCATTCAAAAAGTCCACTCCCTAACATCTCCAGTCTTAACAGCATTGCAATTTTCTGATATTGTAAGGCACCTTGAATATCTGCTGTTAGGCAGAAATATGAATCATAGAATCATAGAGTTGGAATAGACCACAAGGGCCATCGAGTCCAACCCCCTGCCAAGCAGGAAACACCATCAGAGCACTCCTGACATATGGTTGTCAAGCCTCTGCTTAAAGACCTCCAAAGAAGGAGACTCCACCACACTCCTTGGCAGCAAATTCCACTGTCGAACAGCTCTTACTGTCAGGATGTTCTTCCTAATGTTTAGCTGGAAGCTTCTTTCTTGTAGTTTGGATCCATTGCTCCATGTCCGCTTCTCTGGAGCAGCAGAAAACAACCTTTCTTCCTCCTCTATGTGACATCCTTTTATATATTTGAACATGGCTATCATATCACCCCTTAACCTCCTCTTCTCCAGGCTAAACATGCCCAGCTCCCTTAGCCATTCCTCATAAGGCATCGTTTCCAGGCCTTTGACCATTTTGGTTGACAATTTCTACTGACTAAATAATCAAAGGAGTGGTTACTGATTTTCCATGCATTATTTTTTTTAAAAAATCCCCAACTGGAAATGGGATAGCCCCAACTTATTGGATTCAGCCTGCTTTGTGGGCAGAGGGAGAAAAAATAAAAATATGAATTCCTCAAAACGTTCCCCAGAGAGCAGTCAGTGTAATCCTTAAGGAAAGCTTTTATAATTTATTGTTCTTAACACCACAAGTCATGACCATATATGGCGAGTGATGCCTATAGGAGGTGCAAAGAAGCAAATGCCAGGCTGTAGCATATTCTGGATGTATCCTAAAATCAGAATTATTTTTTTGGGGGGCGGGTACAATAACTGACATTAAAGTAACAACAAGTTACCAACGGACCCTCTAACTTTGTTATTTGGATATGATAAAGATCATGCACTAATAGAGGATTAGGTATTGTCACGATAAGGTTCAGCATAACATAATCCCTTTTTCATTACTCAGAACTTCAGTGTGCTCTATTTGATTTTGGTACGTGGGTGGCAGCAGAGGTGAGGCAGGTTGGGGAAATGCTACCCCTCTCCAAACAAACAAACAAACAAACAAACAAACAAACAAACAAACAAACAAACAAACACAATGAACTCTCCCTCCCACTCGCCTTCCTCTATCGCTGGGCTCCTGTCATTAACATATACTGTTATTTTGTTTCTTTCAGAAATCTTAATATGGGGGGGGGGGGGCTCACACACCTAGAAATATACCATACTTTTCCATGTAAAAGATGAGGGTTTTTTTTTTTTTAACTGTAAAATAATGCTTGAAAATCGGGGCTCGTCTTATACATGGACAAGTGATTGGTTGCAGCCGTGAGCAGGAGCATGTCAGTGGTGATTTTGTTGCTGATTGGTGGCTGTGTCAAGTGCTTTTTATTGGCTGGTGCTGCGGAAATTGAGTGGGTGATTGGTTGCTGCGGCAAGGGTTGCTTAGGATTGGCTGCCTCTTCAGCAAGTGGGCGTGCGATTGCCGTCTGCTGTTTGTGAGGGCAGGCACATGTTGGCTTCATCGAACGATTGTCAGCGTTTTTCATTCGGGTTAGTGATTTTCAGCATTCCCCCACCCCCGAAAAAAGCTCAACAACTCTGGGCCATCCCCACCATTTTCTTAAATTTGTGTCCAAAAAATAGGGGGTGTCTTGTACATGGGGGTGCATTATACATGGAAAAATACAGTACTTTCCTGGTCCCACCACTGATTTGTTATGGAAACCTGTTCTTTGATTTCAGTCCTGAATATCTGTTTTCTTCTCTTTTGACACTTGTTAATTTATTCATGTTTTCCTTTATTCTATATCCTTATTTTTTTAAAAAAATAATAATAACAATAATAAGAAGAAGAATCCTTACAGTGGAAATTTAACCCAGTCTTTAGAAGGGTGTTCCTTGAAGGACACGTTGGGCAAGATGTAAACTGTGTGAGACGCAATCCCACCGATGAGGATTTCGCTGGGTTGGTACCACTCCGATGGGACATGAATGGGATTGTTTCCAGCGCACTTCAGAGAGTGTCCTTTGTGCACCATCTGAGAAAGCAGCAGCAGCAACAACAACAGCAACATCGCAGAACCTCAGCTTCCTGGTGGTAAAGGCTCCTGTAAGATGTGGCATCTGTCTCTCAGGACAGCATCACACTGGATTGAAATTACATGGCTCGGAGGACAGCTGAATTGGCCAATACATGTATTAAAATGGCATGTATGTGCTTTACTTTGAGCTTCAACTGGAGAACAGAAGCACACATTGGATACTAATGTAGTGACACTTATCTGAAGCATGACCTGTCCTACTTAAAGGAGAAACTGCCCAGTTCAGACAGACAGAGCTCTGCCAAATTTAGTCCCTGGAACCATAGCCCCAAGTGACACTGTTGGGGGTTTATATAACAATTTCAGATTTGTTTTCAGATAATTTTTTATATGCTGTAAGCCAGATGGATGGGGTATAAATAATAAAATTGTTTCTTGCTTTCCCCCCTTTTCTTTTAGAGACGTCTGGGGCTTTGTCCAGGCAAATAAATGACAATGATTTGGATAATTACAGGGGTGGTAATAGCTAACCCTGATGGTTATGTTTCACTTCCACTGTCAGGCCCCATCTGCACTATGTACATAAAGTGGTATCATATCACTATAAACAGTCACGGCTTCCCCCCCAAAGAGCCCTGGGACCTGTAGTTTGCTAAGGGTGCTGAGAGTTGTTAGGAGATTCCTGTTTCCTTCACAGAGCTACAATTCCCAGAGATCTTGTCAACCACAGAATTATTTGGGGGAAGATTGTTTCGAGTGGTGTAAGGTAAAGGTAAAGGGACCCCTGACCATTAGGTCCAGTTGTGGCCGACTCTGGGGTTGTGGTGCTCATCTCGCTTTATTGACCAAGGGAGCCGGCATACGGTTTCCGGACATGTGGCCAGCATGACTAAGCCACTTCTGGCGAACCAGAGCAGCGCACGGAAACGCCGTTTACCTTCCCGCTGGAGTGGTACCTATTTATCTACTTGCACTTGATGTGCTTTCGAACTGATAGGTTGGCAGGAGCAGGGACCAAGCAATGGGAGCTCACCCCGTCGCGGGGATTCGAACCGCCAACCTTCTAATCGGCAAGTCCTAGGCTCTGTGGTTTAACCCACAGCACCACCTGCATCCTTCGAGTGGTGTAGTACTGCTTTAGATCAGGCATAGGCAAACTCGGCCCTCCAGATGTTTTCAGACTACAATTCCCATCATCCCTGACCACTAATCCTGTTAGCTAGAGGTGATGGGAGTTGTCGTCCCAAAACATCTGGAGGGCCGAGTTTGCCTATGCCTGGCTTTAGATGCATAGTGCAGGTTTGGCCTCAGAGGCCGTATGCCTCTGAATGACAGTTGCTGTGAATCACAGGCAAGGAGAATGCTGTGGTGCCCATTTCCTGCTTGCACGCTTCCCACAGGCATCTGGCTAGTCATTGTGAGAACAGAAGGCAGAACAAGATGGGCAGTTGGCCTCATCCAACAAGGCTTTGTATTGTTCTTAAAGGTAAAGGGACTCCTGACCAATAGGTCCAGTTGCGGGCAACTCTGGGGTTGCGGCGCTCATCTCGCTTTATTGGCCGAGGGAGCCGGCGTACAGCTTCTGGGTACCGCTCCAGCAGGAAGGTTAATGGTAATGTTCTTAGCTCTGCATTATTTTTTTGCCATTTTGGTGGCATTGTTGGTAGCAGAACCACTGAAAGGAACATTGAAGGGCTAAGAGGAAATGCATCACTTTGAAAAAGAGAACACAGATTTGCATAGGAATATCTTGATTTATATGTCTAGAAACAGATCTAACTCCAAGGGTCTTCTGGCGGCTCTCTCTCTTCAAGAAGTGGGGTTGCAGGGAACCAGGCAAAGGACCTTCTCAGTAGTGGCAGCCACACTGTGGAACACCCTCCCATCAGACGTCAAAGAGATAAGTAATGATACAACCATTGGAAGACATCTGAAGGCAGCCCTGTATACAGAAGATTTTAATGTTTAGTGTTTTATTATGTTTTTGCATATGCTGGAAGCCAGCCAGAGTGGCTGGGCAACCCAGTCAGATGGGTGGGGCATAATAATAATAATAATAATAATAATAATAATAATAATAATACAGTCAAACCGTGATTGTCAAACGTAATCCGTTCCAGAAGCCCATTCGGCTTACAAAACGTTCGACAACAGAATCGCTGCTTCTGATTCATTGCAGGAGTTTCCTGCACTCAAGCAGAAACCAAGTCGGACGTTAGGCTTCCGAAAAACATCTGAAAACTGGAGCATTTACTTCCGGGTTTTACTTCCCTAACTGAATCATTAAAAAACGGAGCCGTTCAGGAGCCAAGGTTTGACTGTACAATGATTTAAATAGAAATACCACACCCTCCAATATGTCAGAGGAAAATTGGGATGTGTGTCTTTTGGTGTTATGCTGCCGAAGTTTTGTCAGTGTGCTGAGAGGGGCAGGGGGCAGACAGCAGCACACTGAATGGTGGATGAGAGTCAAGAAGAGGGATGGATATAAAAATAGGAAAAGGTGTACAGTGACAATACAACCTAAACGTCTGGTAAACAGTTAAAGACTCTGAATCTCTATGGCTCAGAACTGTGCCACTCTGACTGACTCTTAGCCACTCGATGATGAACCCCCATCTCCTCCTCTATGGCACACTTTTGTGCTGAGACAACGGAAAGCCAGTTTTTCTTTTTTTCTTTTAAAATCATTTTTTTCAACATAAAATACAAAAAAGGCCAACCTAATCTAAAGAGAAGGAAAGAATAAAGACATGCCATAGAAAGCATTGAAGAAATGAATAAGATAACAAAGGGAGAAAAAATAACAGAAATAAAAGTAAAAAGTAAAAAGGATTTCCAACTATCCATCTGTTAGTTAAATATACAATAGTTCTTCAAAACCGTTAAATATTCAGTCCAAATTAGTATTCAGATGTTCCCCCTCTGTTAGGTAATTTCCCAGTCTTTGATCCAGGGTGTTCCAGTTCATTATTCTTTTTCAGTGTGAAGTCCAAGTAAAATTCTCCAAATAATATTATAATAGTCTACAATAGTTCTCCTCTAGTCCCACGTCACAATGTTACCTTCAATATTAGGAAACATTCAACCCGTCTTATTTACTCCAAGACTTCTTCACTGTGTTTATGTATTAGAGCACCAGTCCATAATTATTTGAGTATTATACAGCCCTTGATCCACACCCAAATCCATTTATCCTAGTCTCTTTTCATGACAACCCTACTTATCCGTCCTTACTTGAAAAAATCAAATTTCCAGTTTTTTGATCGGAGGCCGGGAGTGCCAGGAGTGGTGTTTGGTGTACTTCCACATTGGGGTGGGCAAGCATCAGGGAGAGGCAGGCAGGGGGCCAAGGAGAAGCACCCACGTTCTGTAGTTGTAATGAGAACATGCTGATGGAGGGGCTGACATGATGGGGTAGTGTGGAAGACAGGCCTTCCCAACAATAGTGTTGCTGCAGGACAAGACAGGGCAGTAGTGAGATGGGGCAGGGCAAAGCTGGCACTCTTGACAGTTTGCCCGTGCAGCTGCAACCTTGCTGCTACTCTGCCCTATCCCACCATCATCCAGATAAGGGTAAGCAAAGCTATTATTAGGGTGGCTCTGGACACTACCCTGCCTTGCCATCTGCTCTTGGAACACACAGTTTTGCTAAATCCTGTACTAAATCCTATACTGCAAACTGCCCTGTGTTCCTCAAAGGAAGGGTGGTATATGAAACAAACAAACAAACAAAATAAATAAAAAAGGGAATCTTCTTCTTCTTCTTCTTCTTCTTCTTCTTCTTCTTCTTCTTCTTCTTCTTCTTCCTTCTTCCTTCTTCCTTCTTCCTTCTCCTTCACTGATGAATTTTCCAAAGCAGTGTACTATGAATTAAACAAGGCTGGGAATTCAAATAAAAACCCATCCTCTTTTTAAATTATTGTTTTATTTTTCTTACATGCTTAAATGTGGAGAAATGACAAAATGTCAGATATTTGCATAGTTCCCTCCACTTTTAGCTTGGAGAAGAGACTGGGAGGAGATATGAAGATAGCCATCTTCAAATATCCCGAGGCCTGTCACATGGAAGCTGGAGCAAGCTTGTTCTCTCCTGCTCTGGAGGGTAGGACTCGAAACAATAGCTTCAAGTTACAAGAAAGGAGATTCCAAATAAACATCTGGAAGAATTTTCTGAGAGTAGGAGCTGTTTGAAAATGGAACTGATTTCCTTGAGAGGTTGTGGACTCTCCTTCCTTGGAGGTTTTAAGCAGAGGTTGGGTGGCCATCTGTCATGGATTCTATAGTTGAGATTCCTCCATTGCAGGCGGTTAGACTGAATGACTGGGACACTCCCATAGTCAAATCCAACAATTGCAACCTCTCATACACTCTCCTCATTTCCCTCTTGTTCTCCATCCTTTGTGCTTTCCTATTCATCGGTCGACCTGAGAAAGTGACATGTCTCCTTTGACAAACAGCTTTTGGCATCATCTTTTCATTGGCAGTTTCTTGTGTGTTGGCAAAGACAATCATTGTGGTCCTTGCTTTCATGGTCACCAAACCAGGGTCCAGCATGAGGAAATGGGTGGGGAAACAACAGGCCACCTCCATTGTTCTTTTCTGTTCCTTGATTCAAGCTGCTCTTTGTACCGTGTGGCTGGCAACTTCTCCCCCATTCCCAGATTTAGACATGCACTCAATGAGTAAAGAAATTGTTCTGCAATGTAATGAAGGGTCAGTCACCATGTTCTACTGTGTTTTCGGGTTTATGGGCTTGCTGGCCATTGTCAGCTTCTCTGTAGCCTTCCTAGCCAGGAAGCTACCCGACAGCTTTAATGAAGCCAAATTTATCACCTTCAGCATGCTGGTATTTTGCAGTGTGTGGCTGTCCTTTGTTCCAACTTAAGCACAAAAGGAAAATATATGGTGGCTGTGGAGATCTTCTCCATCTTGGCCTCCAGTGCTGGGTTACTAGGCTGTATATTTTCACCTAAATGTTATATTATTATGGTGAAGCCTGAGTTGAACAGCAAGGAGCAACTCAGAAGGAAGACTTGACATATCTAAAATTCAGGGTCCCTCATCCATGTCACATTTTAATTAGAAATGGGGTCTATGTTACTTCTGTATTTTTTTATTTCCTCAGCTAAATGCAAATGTAATTTAAGCTGTCAGTGCCATATTGGAGTAATCCTTTTAAAATCTGTGATAAATTCTTCTTAAATTATGCTCACCAAATAAAATGCAAAGAGAGGAGGTGTGCATCTCTTAAAAGGGGTATTCCAGGGTATGGCGGCATGGGGTGAGGCCAGGAGGGACACACCTGTTTCATGCCTCTTGTTTAGTTACATGAGCTGGTAAACCCATGAAACTCATGCCAGCAAAAATTGCCATGTTCCCCATTTATCATCACACTTTTGTAACGGGAGATGGGTGCTGCAAAAGACTTCTAAGGAGTGTGCTACAGTCATTGCTGCCACTGTGGCAGCAGCGGCAGGTGATGCACTCTTTGGGTTCCAATTCTGCTTCCCCTGTGAATCCTGCCATTCGAGGCACTTGCCTCACCTTGCCTCATGGGTGGGCTGGCCCTGACTCAACCAGAGCATCAAAGTAAGGTTAAGGCTCTTAGTACTTTTATTGAAATACACTTAATGAGGATTATAGCTTCATTGTTGTTCTGATATAGCACAAGACTTGGTTTCAGCAAAAACTCTTTACAGAGAGGTGATAAAACTCTCATTTCAACACACAGCGGAATAAACTGATTCCCCATAGAATGGCTATTCTTTTTTCTTAAACCAGAAACCCACTCCCAGCCCCTTCCAGGAACTTTCATAATCTACATTGCCCTTCCTAGCTAACCCATAATAAAGCCCTTTTCAGGTCCTAAGGTAATCCCTGTCTGAGCCATATCTGACAGTTAAGACCTATCTAAGGGCTTTCCAATTCCTATTTGATGGTTTAACTGTAAGAGTCTAACTTTTAACTCTCCATTCCTTCTTGACACACCAAAATAAAAATGCAATAATATTAATGAATGCATGCATGCATGAATAAACAAAATGAAAACTTTCAAGGCAACTGTGGTTTCTATTGTGGTACTCTTCTTTTGAATATCTCATTATACCGAAATCTTTTACTCTGGATGTCACATAATCATACAATTGTACACTGGAAAGGGACCCCAGGGGTCAATCTGTCAGTCCATAGAGGCATCAGTATCTCTTGCCAATCAAGTGAGCTGGATTATAGTTTTTTCTGCAATGTCTCACAGCAAGTGTAATTCTGAATAGGTGATTATCTCCCTTATAATTATCCAATTAACTGTGATTACATGCTATTTCTTCTTCAAGTCCCAAATAACCATGAGTAAAACTACAAGACAGTGTGAGTCTATAACTACCCCCTGGGCAACTCAGTGCTGGAAATTAAGAGGGTGAGGGCTTTGTAACTTTGATTGTAGACATTTTAGATGGCACAGTCTGAGTCACATATCATTCTGGGTGCGGCCGTTCAAATTAAGTCGTGAGACTCAGCACGGAACCCAGTAAGGTATAATGTGGAGGCAAGAGAATAGGTGTGGAGAAGGAATTCTGTCATGGAAGATAGTGGCATTTGCAGTTGTCCTTTTGCCTCTGGTGACATTCAAGACGCCTGATATCAAATGCCAAGTCAGCAACTCTCTTCCTATTCTTCACAAGTTTTACCAGCCTGGAGACTTCATCATTGACAGCATTATAGCTCAGATATATAGAGTTTATACTCCACTAAGTTTCGCAAAGCGCCCTTCTAATGACATCTTTGAAGACATGGTGTAAGGCTTTCTTTCTTTTTTAAAAAAGATATTTTGCAATGTCATATATTTGCCCTAGCTACACCACATTACCCTTCAGTCTTGTGATTATCATGCTCTTTTATGCTTAGGAATATTTGAGAGTTTCCTGGTTGTAAGGAAGAAACTGCGAGAGAGCAGTGACCGGAGTTGAAGATAAATTTTTAATTTTGGTCCGTATTGGTTTTAAGGCAATGGAATGTAACAATATTTCATCATGCTTACCTAGATTAGAACCATTATACTATTGTGTATTCGGTAATAATGCATTGAACTGAATGGAAGTATATGTCATATTTTGTAGCAGATACACTGTCATACTGCATGCAACTCTAATTGCAGGGTGGTGACCCAGATCTACCAGCATATCCTGGCCTTGATATTTGCTGTAAAGGAGATCAATGAAAACCCCCAGATTTTACCTAATGTCACCCTAGGTTTCCATATCTATAATAGCTATTTCACTGCAAAATGGACCTATCGTGCCTCAATGGAACTCTTCTCTAGACTGGGCAAATCAGCCCCCAACTACAAATGTGATATTCAGAACAATCCAGGAGCAGTCATTGGGGGACCTGTCTCTGAAGTCTGTCTCTACATGGCAGATATTCTGTCCATTTATAAGATTCCACAGGTAAGATGTAAGCGTGCAGGAAGAGAGGTTAACAAGCCATTTGCTCATCCCTTTCCTGGTAAACTTTTCTTTTTATCAGTTTTATTTCCAATGTTTTTTTTCCCCAGAAGCTCCAACAATAAAGTATTTGAGGTTCCTGAGATTTTTCTGTAGCAGGTTCAGGACCTGCCTTTTTCTCAGTGTCTCTGTACTTAGATCTTGCAGCAAGATCATGTTATTATTATTATTATTATTATTATTATTATTATTATTCACATCCCCCACTTTCACATTGACGGCTTTTGTTAATTTGCCATTAATGAAAAATCTGTCAAAGCAAATAATAATATCATGGGAAAATACTGCATTTTTGTTTGTTTTGTTGGGAGCTAGATGACAATGAACAATTTTTATGTCTGACGATTAGGAGGACTTCTGGCATTTCTGTTGTCCGTCATGTTAGTAAGACATTTATTAAATCTGCAGTGTCTCAGAATTTTAAATTCAAAGTCATCTCCTATTTTTTTGTCATCTAATAGGTCAGTTAATGGTTTCTGACATTGTAGAAGATTGTGTGCTTTTTCACACTCAGTTCTGTAGCTGCATTTGGAATGTTTCCTATTTTTTGTGTTTTCTGCATTATTGGTTCTAGATGATTTTTAATAGCAATAAAGGCTTTTCCTCACTCTGTAAATAAGAACTGTGGATTTTGTACTTTGCCATTAACTGCTTGCATCATTGTTGTTGCAGAAGTGATCTGTGTTCAGCTTTCTCTTCCTTGGCGACCATTTTGTGCACATTGTTCACAATCTATTTCTCTGTATAAGATTATAGCAAAACTTACAGGAAGAGGAGACTCATATTTTTGATGTTTGATGTATTGGTTGGCAAGAACAAATAAATCCTTAGAAAGAGTTAAAGTTTTGTTTCATTTGATGAAATCAGTTATAAAGACAGGAGTCAGAGCTACTTAGCCAAAGACTGGTAGTACTAGATTTAAATTAAGCAGGAGAGCAAAGGAGAAGGAATTCTTTTCCTATCAGACAGCTTGTTGAACATTAATATATGCCATTCAAGAACTCAAAATACAGAAGAGAAATTAAATCAAGGCAAAACTAATGCCTTAAAGGGAGCATAGGGAGAGATTGTGTCATCAGATGAGGGACATGGCAGACTTTTCCCTTTTATTACAAAAGCTGCTTAAATTTGCAACTTGGAAAGAAAGTCCACTGTACAGACCTTACTGCTGCCACACCCCTATCAGACAGCTTGTTGAACATTAATATATGGCATTCAAGAACTCAAAATACAGAAGAGAAATTAAATCAAGGCAAAACTAAAGCCTTAAAGAGAGCACGGGAACAGATTGTGTCATCTGATTAGGGAGAAACCACATGGCAGACTTTCCCCTTTTATTACAAAAGCTACTTAAATTTGCAGCTTGGAAAGAAAGTGCTAATATTAAAGTATTTTCTCAACGCTAAGTGTACGCTCTGTGGGATGGTAGAGCACCAACCGGTAACAGTAGGGTCAGAAAGAGGTGCTTACTTGATCTCCCTGAACTGAAGTCATTGCATTGTTTCAGGTAGGGAGTGTCAGTGAAGCCAGTCTGCTACAAAAGCAATGGTGGGAGTATCATATTGATTCCACCAGGGTATTTGCAGCGTACAGACCTCACTGCTGCCTCACCCCTTCCACTCACCTTTCCAAAACATCAATGAATCTCTGAACACACTTGCTCTACACTGCTGGCCACTACTGGCAGCATCATATGTCTTCCCTAGAGAAATTATATGGGATTGGTACCAACCCCCCTTAACTTTTTTTTATTTCCATTAGATCATGTATTGCTCTGCTGCGGCCCTAGATAAGAAAACCCAAGCTGCTTTCTATTACCAAGTGTTCCCAGATTTGAAGCTTCAATATAAGGCAATTCTCTGGTTACTGCTATATTTCAAGTGGACATGGATTGGGATTATTTCTGGGCAAAATGATAATGGAGAGAGGTTTGAACATAATATTATTTCCATGTTTGCCCAGAGAGGTATTTGCTTTGATTTCATAGTGAGAATTCCCAGAATGTCTTTTTTAAGTGATTTTGATGACTTGATGGGAGAGGTATTTGAAATGAATGAAATTATTATGAGCAGCACTGTCAATGCATTGGTCATTCATGGTGAGATCGAGACCATGATCATCCTGAGGATATTTTCCAGGGCTTCAGCATATGACCTTATATCAACAAAGAGAAATAGTAAGGTGTGGATTATGATAGGCGAGATAGATTTCACTTCCATTCCTGTTCAAAGAGATTGGGACATAGACTTCCTCCATGGTGCTATATCTTTTGCCATTCATTCCAGTGAGGTTGTAGGATTCCATAAATTTCTTCAGGTGAGAAACCCCACCTCGGAGAAAGCTGATGGCTTTGTTAGAGTCTTCTGGGAACAGGTCTTTGGGTGTTTGTTCCCCAACTCCATGGTAGACCTACAGGATGAAGACCTCTGCAGTGGAGAGGAGAAGCTGGAGACTCTTCCTGCATCTGTTTTTGAAATGAGCATGACTGGCCACAGCTACAGTGTCTTCACAGCTGCCTATGTGGTTGCACATGCTTTGCATGCCATGCATTCAACTAGCTTCAAAAAAAGAATGAAAGTGGATGAAGGAGTAAAATTCAAGAATGAACAGTTATGGAAGGTAATGTTCTGAGCACGCTAAAAGTGGAGTAGAAATGGTGATGGATCAGTCCAAAGGTTACCCAAGGCAGCCAACCTGATACCTGTGGGAAGTGCTCAATCAGGACATTATGGCAATACGCCACTCCCAACAGTCTGGTGTTCAGAGGCACGATGCCCCTTTTTCTGGAGCAAATATATAGTCATTGTGGCTAATAGATATAGATATCCAATTTCTTCCTTGACTTTGTCTAATCTCCACTGCTCACCAGTTGCAAGGGAATAAACAGAGAATCTAGTTTCTTTGGAAGTTCAAAAGGTGATAATGATAAGCATGGAGCAGGCTTTCTTTCTACTTCTGGCCTCCACCACATCACGGTTGTAAATGTAGTAGTGGCTATACCATTCTGACCTGCTCCACTGCTGCCCAGTCACTTCCTTCATTAGTACCACTGTTACATTTTATTATTGTAGTTTATTACTGTATCTGTTTATTGTTGTACGTATCTCTCATTGTTCCTGCAAGAAGCTCAAGGCGGCCTATAGGGCTCTTTCCTCTCCATATATATATTTACTTGATATAAAGCTTTTATACAGTTCAGTAAACAAGTGGGAATGATGATCAGTCTTTTGTATATCCTTATGCATTGGCTTTCTTTTATTTTCTCTGTGGTTCTATCCATTTTTTCTCTCTAAACAGCTCAACAACTTTGTTAAAAGCATCTCATTTAATAATAGTGATGGGGGGAAAGTTTTCTTCAACCAAAATGGAGAGTTAGAGTCTGGATTTGATATTATAAACTGGGTCACATTTCCAAACCAGTCCTTTCGGAGAGTGAAAGTTGGAAGGATCGACCCCATGGCTCCCCAAGAAGAAGTGTTCAGCATTTGTGAAGAAGCCATTGTGTGGCCCAGCAGGTTTAACCAGGTGAGATAAATTCATATTTTGTAGCCTATCCATCACTTCTACAATGATTCACGGTTCAGATACTGACCTAGCTCTGTGCTATGTTCATCCATGTGCTCAGTGTAGGAGTGAGGGCATGGCTGTAGAGATCTTCCATGTTTTGCCAGTTAAGTGACACTCATTACAGCCACTATTGCACTACTACCACCAAATTTACTACTTGGAAAAAAATAAAACTTGATAAATTTACAGAGGGTCATATTCATGTGGGGGAAGGCAGCATAAGGGTTCCTTCTATCATGATGGGGCTTGCTTGTTTCCTTCCCTACCCAAAATTGTAAAATATGGCTCTGCTTTCCTTTGGGCCACATCAATGAGGTCATCAAGGGTGTCTTTTTGTCTTGGTAACCCAGTGCTCGATGCACACTGCCCAGGTTTCGTACTGCTAATGCATCAGTTCAACTTCTCCCCCAGAGGTGCACTACATTGAATGACAATAACAAAAACAGTTGCCTCCAACTGTGGAGAAGAACCAAAGCCATCAGGGCAAGTAGCCCTTGATTGCCCTTTCCTAGTTGTCTCTTGCCTCTTCCACCATACTGTAAAAGGAGATAGTTCAGCAAGTTAACAGAATATAATACATTGTGGATACACAATATTGCAAAATATAAAACATTATCCTCTTACATTTTTGGACAGGCACAGCCCCTTTCTCTTTGCAATGCCAATTGTCCTTTGGGTTATCAAAAAACAAAGAAGGAAGGGAAACCATTTTGCTGCTATGATTGCATTATATGTCCGGAAGGGAAGATTTCCAACCAGACAGGTAAGAAACATTATGTAAAGAGCCTTTAAAACATACTAAGAGTAATATATTCTGACACTCCCATCCCTTGTGGTTTTCAGTTGTTCAGACAATTCATGAAAGTTGTTCAGAATTCAGTGAAGGTTGTGGTTCCTGATACGAGGATACAGCATGATATACTCAATAATATCAGTCCAAGCCATTGACAACTGGTAATTATGTAATATATATATATATATATATATATATATATATATATGAAATAAATCACCACTCAGATGATGGAGGTATCAAAAGTTGAAAAAATAGAAACCTTCAGAGATATGAAAGAACCTCAGGGAGAAAGCTAAGGTTGCAACAGCCTTTCTTAAATGCAAGACCCAAGAACCATGTTTCCAAATTCAGAGAAGCGCTAAAACGGAAATGCAACCTTGTTCCAGTCAACATATTAGAATGGGAAGTTCAAATCATGTTGGGATGTTAAAAAATGTGAACAAGTAAAATCTGCTAGAATCCTGATGGTAAATGATAACATTGAGCTTCAGAGGTCGAGTTAGGTCCTAACATCTGGGGGTGGGTGGGAATTGAATATGGCATGTTGTTAATAATATAATTACATGAGAAGTGTGCCAAATGGTTTTTTCAGATTTCAACTTGGCAAACCCTTATTTAAGGTTTAATTTTCATTTTGATCATTTTAGTATTATGCATGTAGTGATGCTCCTACGGCATTTCTTTTTCAGACATGGATGAATGCTTTCAGTGCCCACAAAATCATTACCCAAATGTGGAAAAGGATTCTTGTCTGCCAAAGAACATACAATTCTTGTCTTATGGGGAACCCCTGGGGATCTCTTTGGCCTGTTTTGCTCTTTCCTTGTCCTTCCTTACAGCTTTGGTGCTTTGGATTTTCATTAGGCACCGGGACACTCCCATAGTCAAAGCCAACAACCGCAACCTCTCCTATACTCTCCTCACCTCCCTCTTGTTCTCCTTCCTTTGTGCTTTGCTATTCATCGGGCGACCTGAGAAAGTGACCTGTCTCCTTCGACAAACAGCTTTTGGCATCATCTTTTCAGTGGCAGTTTCTTGTGTGTTGACAAAGACAATCATTGTGGTCCTTGCTTTCATGGTCACCAAACCAGGGTCCATCATGAGGAAATGGGTGGGGAAACAACAGGCCACCTCCATTGTTCTTTTCTGTTCCTTGATTCAAGCTGCTCTTTGTACTGTGTGGCTGGCAACTTCTCCCCCATTCCCAGATTTAGACATGCACTCAATGAGTAAAGAAATGGTTCTGCAATGTAATGAAGGGTCAGTCACCATGTTCTACTGTGTCTTGGGGTTTATGGGCTTGCTGGCCATTGTCAGCTTCTCTGTAGCCTTCCTAGCCAGGAAGCTACCCGACAGCTTTAATGAAGCCAAGTTTATCACCTTCAGCATGCTGGTATTTTGCAGTGTGTGGCTGTCCTTTGTTCCAACTTACTTAAGCACAAAAGGAAAATATATGGTGGCTGTGGAGATCTTCTCCATCTTGGCCTCCAGTGCTGGTTTACTAGGCTGTATTTTTTCACCTAAATGTTATATTATTGTAGTGAAGCCTGAATTGAATAGCAAGGAGCAACTCAGAAGGAAGACTTGACATATCTAAAATTCAGGGTCCCTCATCCATATCATATTTTAATTAGAAATGTGTTCTATGGTACTTTTGTGTTTTTCCTTTCTTCATCAAAATGCAAATGTAATTTAAACTGTCAGTGCCATATTGGAGTAATCCTTTTCAAATCTGTGATATATTCTTGTTCAATTCTCCTCTCCAAATGAAATGCAAAGAGGGGAGTTGTACATCTCTTAAAAGGGGCAGTCCAGAGTGTGGCGGCACGCGGTAAGGCCAGGAGGGACACACCTATTTCATGCCTCTTGATTAGTTACATGAGCTGGTAAACCCATGAAACTCATGCCAGCAAAAATTGCCACGTAAGTAGACTCCAGTTCCCCCTTATCATCACACTTTTGTAAGGTGAGGTGGTTGCTGTGAGAGAGGTGGAAGATCTGACCTCTAAGGAGTGTGCCGCAGCCATTGCTGCCACTGTGGCAGCAGCGGCAGGTGATGCATTCTTTGGGTTCCAATTCTGCTTCCCCTGTGAATTCTGGCTTTAAAGCACTTGCCTCACCTTGCCTCATGGGTGGGCTGGCCCTGCCTCAAACAGAGTATCAAAGTAATGTTAAGACTTAATAATTTTATTGAAATACACTTGATGAGGCTTATAGCTTAATTGTTATTCTGATATGGCACAAGACTTGGTTTCAGCCAAAAACTCTTTACAGAGGGGTGATAAAACTTTCACTTCAACACACAGTGGAATAAACTGATTCCCCATAGAATGGCTATTCTTTTTTCTTAAACCAGAAACCCACTCCCAGCCCCTTCCAGGAACTTTCATAATATAGGTTGTCCTGCCTAGCTAACCCCTAATAAAGCCCTTTTCAGGTCCTAAGGTAATCCCTGTCTGAGCCATATCTAGCACTTAAGACCTATCTAAGGGCTTTCCAATTCCTATTTGACGGTTTAACTGTAAGGGTCTAACTTTTAACTCTCCATTCCTTCTTGACACACCAAAATAAAAATGCAATACTATTAATGAATGAATTCATGAATAAATGAATGAATGAATAAAGAAATAAATAAACAAAACAAAAACTTTCAAGCCAAATGCGGTTTCTATTGTGGTACTCTTTTCTTCTGAATATCTCATTATACTGAAGTCCATTACTCTTGATGTCACAGAATCATACAATTGTACACTGGGAAGGGACCCCAGGGGTCATCTGTAATGCAGGAATCTGTCAGTCCGTAAAAACATCGGTATCACCTGCCATTCCAGTGAGCTGGATTATGGTTTCTTCTGCAATGTCTCACAGCAAGTGTAATTCTGAATAGGTGATTATTTCCCTTATAATTATCCAATTAACTGTGATTACATGCTATTTCTTTTTCAAGTCCCAAGTAATCATGAGTAAAACTACAAGACAGTGTGATTCTATAACTACCCCCTGGGCAAATAAGAACTGTGGATTTTGTACTTTGCCATTAACTGCTTGCATCATTGTTGTTGCAGAAGTGATCTGTGTTCAGCTTTCTCTTCCTTGGCGACCATTTTTGTGCACATTGTTCACAATCTATTTCTCTGTATAAGATTATAGCAAAACTTACAGGAAGAGGAGACTCATATTTTTGATGTTTGATGTATTGGTTGGCAAGAACAAATAAATCCTTAGAAAGAGTTAAAGTTTTGTTTCATTTGATGAAATCAGTTATAAAGACAGGAGTCAGAGCTACTTAGCCAAAGACTGGTAGTACTAGATTTAAATTAAGCAGGAGAGCAAAGGAGAAGGAATTCTTTTCCTATCAGACAGCTTGTTGAACATTAATATATGCCATTCAAGAACTCAAAATACAGCAGAGAAATTAAATCAAGGCAAAACGAATGCCTTAAAGGGAGCAGAGGGACAGATTGTGTCATCTGATTAGGGAGAAACCACATGGCAGACTTTCCCCTTTTATTACAAAAGCTACTTAAATTTGCAGCTTGGAAAGAAAGTGCTAATATTAAAGTATTTTCTCAACGCTAAGTGTACGCTCTGTGGGATGGTAGAGCAGCAACCGGTAACAGTAGGGTCAGAAAGAGGTGCTTACTTGATCTCCCTGAACTGAAGTCATTGCAGTGTTTCAGGTGGGGAGTGTCAGTGAAGCCAGTCTGCTACAAAAGCAATGGTGGGAGTGTCATATTGATTCCACCAGGGTATTTGCAGTGTACAGACCTCACTGCTGCCTCACCCCTTCCACTCACCTTTCCAAAACATCAATGAATCTCTGAGCACACTTGCACTACCCTGCTGGCCACTACTGGCAGCATCATATGTCTTCCCTAGATAAATTATATGGAATTGGTCCCCTCCCCCACTTAACTTTTTAAAATTTCCATTAGATCATATATTGCTCTGCTGTGGCCCTAGATAAGAAAACCCAAGCTGCTTTCTATTACCAAGTGCTCCCAGATTTGAAGCTTCAATATAAAGCAATTCTCTGGATACTGCTATATTTCAAGTGGACATGGATTGGGATTATTTCTGGGCAAGATGATAATGGAGAGAAGTTTGAACATAATATTATTCCCATTTTTGCCCAGAGAGGTATCTGCTTTGATTTCATAGTGAGAATTCCCAAAATGTCTTTTACAAATGATTTTGATGATGTGATGGGAGAGGTATTTGAAATGAATGAAATTATTATGGGGAGCACTGTCAATGCATTGGTCATTCATGGTGAGATCGAGACCATGATCATCCTGAGGATATTTTCCAGGGCTTCAGCATATGAGCTTATATCAACAAAGAGAACTGGTAAAGTGTGGATTTTGACAGGCGAGATAGATTTCACTTCCATTCCTCTTCAAAGAGATCGGGACATAGACTTCCTCCATGGTGCTATATCTTTTGCCATTCATTCCAGTGAGGTTGTAGGATTCCATAAATTTCTTCAGGTGAGAAACCCCACCTCAGAGAAAGCAGATGGTTTTGTTAGAGTCTTCTGGGAACAGGTCTTTGGGTGTTTCTTCCCCAAGTCCATGGATGAAGTCCAACAGGATGAAGACCTCTGCAGTGGAGAGGAGAAGCTGGAGACTCTTCCTGCCTCTGTTTTTGAAATGAGCATGACTGGAAACAGCTACAGTGTCTTCACAGCTGCCTATGTGGTCGCACATGCTTTTCATGCCATGCATTCAACTAGACGCAAAGGCAGAATGATAGTGGATGAAGGAGTAAAACTTTCAAATCAAGAGTTGTGGAAGGTAATGTCTTGAATATAGCTTTGGGACACCCGGAAGTAGAGTTTTCTTGCAATAGCCTTCTGCCACATCTCCCCCCCCCCAAATGCCTGGTATTCAGAGGCATGATGTCTCTGTTTCTGGGGAATGAATATAACTGCCTTGAATACTAGATTTCGTTATGTCTCCATGAATTTGTCCAAGCCCCAATTAAAATCTAAGGTAAGAGACTGGTTGCATTACCTCCAGATAAACGAGGTATTTAAACAGGACAGGAAAATAGGTTTCCAGATGGAGAGGTCAAAATTAGAAACAGAACTGTTAGAATCCAATACTAAGAACTTGTCAAGAATGTATAATTTGCTGTTGAAATGGAATACGCAGGATGAAACGGTTAAATCAGCTATGATTAAATGGGCACAAGACATTGGTCATGATATTATGTTTGCTGACTGGGAACAGTTATGGACCACTGGTGTTAAGTTTACGGCATGTAATGCATTAAGAGAAAACATTATGAAAATGATTTACAGGTGGTACATGACCCTAGTCAAGCTTGCAAAAATTTATCATTTGCCCAACAACAAATGCTGGAAATGTAATGAGACTGAAGGTACCTTTTATCACCTTTGGTGGACATGCCCGAAGATTAAAGCCTTTTGGGAAATGATCTATAATGAAATTAAGAAGGTTCTTAAATGGACCTTCCCTAAAAAGCCTGAGGCTTTTCTCCTGGGCATGGTTGGCCAATTGGTGACAAGGAAGGATAGGACGTTTTTTATGTATGCTACTGCAGCAGCAAGAATTCTTTTGGCAAAGTATTGGAAGACACAAGAGTTACCCACTCTGGAAGAATGGCAAGCGAAGGTGATCGACTACATGGGATTGGCAGAGATGACCGGCAGAATCCGTGACCAGGGGAAAGAGACAGTGGAAGAAGACTGGAAGAAATTTAAAATTTACCTTAAAAATTGTTGTAAAATTGAAGTGTAATGAGATGTTAAGGTGTTAAGAAATAGAGAATTGCAGCTGTAAACAATAAGTTAAGGAAATTAGAATGAAAGTGAATTAATTAATCAGTTGGAGGGTTGCTGAAGAAAGGCAAAAACAAGGATGCAGAAAAGGGGAGGTATGGGGAAGTCCGGGAAGCAAGGTGTAGGAAGATAAGATTACGAAAGTATACATGTTTATATGTTTGTATGTTTTGTTTGTTTTGTTTGATTGTTTGTTTTTATTATATGCTTGGAAAATTAATAAAAATTATTAAAAAAAAAAAAGAATTTGTCCAAGCCCCAGGGCTCAGCAGATTCAAATGAGTAGAAAAAGGACTCTGTGGAAGTTCCAAAGGACGTGATGATGATCAGGCAGTATTTTATTTTATTTTTTGATGTCTCTGCCTTCCACCAGGGGTGGAATGATATAGCTGTGGATGCAGTGGCGGCTATTCTTCCCTGTCTTATTCAGCTGCTGGCCTGCCAGGGTTAAGATTGCTTTACTAATTACTAGCTCAATGTGGCAAATGCACATCTTCCACTCTCTATATCCATGATTACCAGGCATAAAGCTTTGCAAGGGTTCTGTAACCAAGTTCACCAACAATCACCAACCTTTTAACATATCATTAAGAATTGCCTTTGTTTAATTTTATTTATCCCCATCCCTTTTTCTTTAGCTCAACCACTTTGTTAAGATGATTGTATTTCATAATAGTGGTGGGGGAAAGGTTTCCTTCAATGGAAAAGGAAAGCTAGAGACCGGATTTGATATTATAAACTGGCTCACATGTTATATATATATATATATATATATATATATA